AGCTCCTCCGCACTGTTGGAGCCACGATGGAGTCAGCTGAGGCTGGTCCCAAGATGATCAACATGTACTTCGAGCGCATCGAGAAGGTCATGAACATGGAGGGTCTTCCGTCGCGTATGCACTTCATGTTACTTGACACCGTCGACATGCGCAAGTCTGGCTGGAAGTCCAAGGACATTCTTAAGGGTCCCAAGACCATTGCAGAGATCCATCAAGAAGCCATGGCGGCTCAGCAGGCCGCGGAGATGGAGCGTACACGATCAAACCAGCGCGGTGGTGGTGGTCGTCTTCCCATGGGTCGCGGCGACGCTCGCTCCTTCTCAGGTGGTGGCATGCAGCCTCCTCCAGACACTGGCAGCCGTGTACAGATGGACGACCTCCGCAAGCTCTCCAAGGGTGCTTCTGGGCGCAACCTGAACAACCAGTCCCTCGGCCCGTCCATGCTTGGTAGCCGCAGCGGTAGCGGCCGTCGTGGTCTCGGCCCCGGCATGATGGGCGGTCGTGAAGACTCCAACGCCTCCTCGCGCACTGGCACACCACCAGTCAAGAAGCAGGAAACTGCCCACGCGAACGCTTTCGAGTAAGCTTCCATTTCTCATGACATTCAAGGTTTTTACTAACAACTATTGCAGTGCACTTGCAGCTCTGAGCAACGAAGACGCCGGCGAGGCTGGCTCTGCATCCAACGCGGCAGACGAATCTGCAGCCGACACGGAGGCCAAGCCTTCCGAGTGATTACCTCTTTTTCCAACCATTCGAGCGCGTGACGGTTCTTATACCCATAGACCACACCGCACGCGGTAATCTAATCGATCGCCTGTTTCTTCGTTGCTATAGAAAGGGGGGTTGCATCACAGCGCGCAGTCATTGTTTGCATGCATTTCGGACGCCCGGGGTTTTCATCAAAAGTTTCCTTGTTGTCGATGTGCATGCGCATGTTTTCATGTTTTTTACGGACCATGATGGCGGCGTTCTGGGACCTGCTTTGCAAGATGGATGGATGAGGGACGGCCCTACACCGCTGACGCTTCTTACGAGCGCTATGGGTGGTTCTTTGGGCACGATTGAGTTATTTCTCTTGACCTCTGTTCGTTCATCACCTTTTTCCTGCGCTGCTAGGGTAGGGATGGGCAAAAGATGGGTAGCAGGGAGTCTACCTTTTGTCCACCTGTGGAGGTTCTTTGCCTCTAATCCTGCACTTTCTTCATGTTATCCTTTTCTTCTTCTCTTTCTTCTTTGCTTGCAACTCTTCAGAGAATGCGGTGGTTTGGCGATCGCATATGGTGTCCGCCCATGACAGCAGAACGACCTTGCTTAGGCATGTCGTTGCTCAGGCATGCACACGTGCGACGATGCAAGAAGAGTACACAAAAAGATCTTGCAAATGCGCGAAAACGATGATGTACGGATGATGAGAATCATTACGGACTTCTTGTTTGCGATATCGATCCAGATAGAATGAAATGTGCTAAAAATGTATTCTGCCCTGATGGCGATGTTGTGACGCTGTGATACTGTTGCCTGGTCGGACCATCTTTGCAAACCTTGGCAGGCCTAGATTTGGTGGGAGACAGGTGCCCTGCCAATGATGTGACATGATGCAAACATGTCGATCCTTTCTGCGAGATATTCGCTGACGGCACGAGCGTTGCGCGTCTCTCAGCCCGTTGTTCACAAATGAGGGGCAGAACGGGTGGGCAGAGGGGTTGCTGCAGGGATAAGGAGGGCAAGAGCGGGTTACGTCATAAGGACAGAGTAGCAAAGGGAAGACACATATGTAAAGCTCAGGAAAGTTGGCAGGCTGAGCACTTTTACACTACACTCACAGCGGGACCGAACTCTCAACCGATTTAATCAGTTTCAAGTACAAATCTGCCGTTTCTTAATCAGATTCAGGATCACCTTGTGATATATAACACACACACACACACATCAACCATGTCGGACCAGAACAACCAGCAAAAAGGCTTCTTCGGCACCGCTGCAAGCGGTATCGGTATGTTTCATTCTCAATTCTTTGCATCTATCCTCTGGCCCTTTTTTCTTTCCCACCAGCACCGCCGTATTTGGTACGTCAGAAAACAAGCTAACAGTACAGGAAACACGCTAGGCGCAGCAACGAACACGGTCGGAAAGGGCGTCCAGGGCGTTACTGATGCCACTGGCAATGTCGTTGCTGCCGGTGGTAAAGGGCTTGGCGATGCTGTGACGGGAATTACGCAGGGTGTTGGGGATACTACTAAAGGTACGTTTACTTCCTGCGCGTGTGGGTGGTTGGGGGTGTTTAGGGGAGAGAGAGGGAGTGGGGGTTGGGAAAGGAATGTGGGAAGAAGGTGAGGAAGGATACTGGCTGACATGAGATAGCGGCGGGTAACTTTGTTGGCGATACGACGAAGGCTGGGGGTAAGAGCATGGGTGCTGAGCAGAAGGGTCAGAATCAGACTGGTGGACAGTAGAGAGTGGGATGTTTTTTGAACATGCGGGATGAAGTATACATGGTAGTTGGAAGAACCAACAAGACACCTTTAAGCCGGCTTAATACCATTTGATGATGACGAAGATTGATTCAGACGAGATTTTCGGTGCTTGAAAGGCACGCAGGAGCTTACGCACACCATTTCAATGTACCAAGTATTGCGCATCATGAGACTAAGCGCTTGCACTAGCTTGAGCGCCTCGTCCATGGTATAAAAGCTGGCTTTCTTCTTCTCCAAGTTGTCTTCCTATCATTCGCCTTCTCAAAAACATTCTCCGAAATACTCCTGCCCATCTAGGCATGACTGGGCTTCGGGACTAAATCAAAAAATTGGTGCTGCCATAGCTCATGGATTTTTTTTGCGCCTGTATACAAATCGTTGATCTCACTCTCTACGGAGTGTCTGTTTGGAGCCAATCCAAAGCAACGATATCTCCAAAATGCATTCGTGACCTGGTCATGTCGTAAAAAAGCGCAGGGGTCCTGATGATGAGGACGACAGGCAACTGGAATTGCGAAAACATCGATGAAAAGGCGCCACCAACAACGTCATGGATCTCTCCGCGCTTTTTCCTACCATGTATGATACAGTGTATCTCAAAACAACTCACTGGCCCCACATGGTGCAAGAAAGATATCGTTCACTATGCATCAAGGGCGATGATGTTTGAACGGCGTCACATCTCACCTAAACACCTCGCCGGGGTATAAATGTCTCTCTTTCTTCGGCCTACCCTTACCTTCATCACACACTTCCTTTCAAAACTCTTTCTCAAAATTCGAAAGCATACGCTCCATGGAGCCTTCCGTCCTCCGCCTTCTCAATTGCAAATGCCAACTGAACATGTTCCCGCCTTCCGCGAAGTCTTCCCAAAACCGAGCACATGTATATCACGAGAGCCTATGGTCTGTCAAAAACTGTACGATACGATTGAATGTTTGTTTCGTCCTCCGTACAAAACAAAATGCGTAGGCTCACATGCCCTGCGTTTTCGACATCTTCTCATCCAATGCTTTGTTATTGAACTCGGAAGAATCAGTTCACACGCGAGTATGAGCAGTAGGAGACTCTTCTCATCTGCTATACGGCTAGAATAGATATCATAGGCAGCACATGCCGTCCTTCCCTGGTCAACGAAATCGGATGGCCATCATTGCATGTCGCTTTCGTGTGTCTGAAAATGACCATCGAAGTTCACATGAGGACCGCGCGTCGAGCTGCTTGCATATGAAGCCTTCCTCCTTGCGCTTTGTTCTCTTTCTTCATCCAAACATCTTAATCGCATTTCACCAAATAAGTCTTGCTGAGGTATCATGGTTCCGGGCTTTCGCGTATTCTCAGAAATCACCATCTATCCGCTCCGTGGCACGCTGAGTGCGTCTCAACGGCGAAGTCATATGCAGACACCGAAATGAGTCTTTCAACCGAAGATGGAATCGATGTGTGTTGCTACTGAGTACGTTTACTCCAAAGGTGTGGCGAATATAATGATGTGTCGAAAAACCCACATTCGAAAAAACACATCAGAACGAAGTCGTGATGACATCTAGCGTTTCGAAACGAACACAAGCAAGAGTTATGAGAAGCTGATTGGAACTATCTCTACAATCTCGCAGCTTTGTTTTGCCAAAAAGATCCACAAAACCACTAGATGATGCTTCTGGGATCTACTGGGAAGAGCGCTAGTGTCGGTATACTTCTTGCCTACAAAGCAACATTCCTATGTTGTGATTTGCTTGGCTAGCACAATTGTCAAAACCACAACACTAAAATCTCGCCGACAAGTTTGATGTGGGGTTTCCCCTTGCTGTATTCCTCCATAACCGCCGAGAAGCTTCTGTCTGCCGAATGTGTTTCGTGGGACTTGCCGGTCTGCAAATGGAATGAAAACCTGTCCATCTCGCTTTTGAATTGCAGTATCTTAAACATGCTGTAGACAGCTGTAAATAATCTACAAGATATGCAATGAACTCTCAAAACCGGCTCAACAAGCATTTGAAAACTTTCATGGACCTGTGATTTATCAACGAATCAACGACAACAGTCTTGATGTTCGGTGCGGTTCTCCAGATTCCTTCGCCTTGTATTGCAGACCCATCTCGTGTTATCCTGGCATTATGACATTGCTTCAAGTATGTATGATCTTTTGTATGGCTAGCAATTCTGCCTGGAATATGGCAACTACCTCTATGATACGTTCGTTCAATGTCAGAACGGAGCAAAAGACAATCTGAATGCGGTACTACATATTGAGCAGTGAAACAATATGGTAGAATGTAATGTGATTAAGGATAGTATGAGGTATGCTTTATTAAACTCCTGGGCCCCACCAAAACAACAGTCCCCCCCTTCCGCCTATTAAATTGTGCCCTTGTTCACCTATGCAATACTGATGAGCTCTTTATTTTCCATTGCAGTCGCTTTCATTGTAAGAGCTTAGGCGTATGTAGGTCTATATAAGAAGTGATTAGTCTCGTACTTGACTAAGAAACGCCACACTATGCACTTACGCACTTGATACACTTAGCACCTGTGGCGACCCAAGTACTTTCCAAGAGTGATGCACTCATCTGGGTACCACCCTGTACCGCATTGGCAGTGCCCAAGAGGGGCGCCTCCAGCGAAGTTCTTGCATTCCATAGCGCATCGGTTTCCCGGGTCGCCATTAGTTCCTGCTTTGCCGCAAGAAGCATAGCCTGAGGCGCAGAACCTGTCCTTGAACCAAGTGTTCACATCACCGGCTCCCTCTTGAGGCGACCTAGCATCGATTGGCAGATCCGAAGGTGCTCGTACGTGGAGAGGCTCAGCTGGACCGGCGGCAGCGAAGCCAGCGAGAGTGCCAACAGCGGCGATGAGAGTGAGGAACTTCATGATTGTTGGTGATAAAGAGTGTTTGTAAGAACAAAGGAGTGTGTAGATGTAATGAGTGAGTGGTGTCTATTCTGGAGAGGAGGCGATAGGTCTTTTATACCAGTTCATGCTCATCTCCCGTCTTACCCTAAACGATGTGCAGAACCGGAGTCCAAGCCTGTAGAAAGTAATCTGATATTCTTGAAGCCATGGCGGTCTGAAATTCGAGTCATTGACTACCAAAGGAGGTACCCGACTAGTACAGTGGGATGAACATCTTTGAGCAGGGATTATGGTAACCATGATTTCCTGTCTTACCAGGTTTTGCGAATTTGGTTGCCTATATTGCCATAGCGCTATTGAGTTGTCTTATGTCGGCAGGCGACAGTACTGTTCGCTGCGGTAACGGAACTTGGGTTTGTCGATTATGCTATGGTTAGATGCCTGTAGGTGGTTTTGAGAGATATTTTGTTGGCGAAGGAGATCTGAACCACGGTCTCCAGCTTCTCTAAGCATCTCTGCAAGGGCGCGGAGTCAAACTATCGGATCTAGATGCATTCTTCTCGACTATGATAGGTAGCAACGTGGGACTTTCAGTAATCACAGGCGTTACCATCGTCGTTAGCACTTCATTTTCGGGGTCGGCCCGCATGCTCTCACTAGCTGTAAGGACCGTGAATTTGATCTAGATATATCTCAGCGGGACTTTCAAGATGTACAAGTATCTTGGCCACAGCTAGTACATGGCGATCGTGACTACATACCTCGCACGCAACGACGTTGTGACTATCCGTTCAGGGACGAAAGGAGAGCATGCCGAATTGCGAAGACGTGATCCTGCATCCAAGTTAACAAACCCGTGATTTTTTAGTTCTATTCAATGCGCTCAAATATTCTGTGTATTGGTGAATGTTTTAGAAGTTCAACGTCAAAGTCGCCCAGGTAAGCTAAACCCCCCGGAACTAGGCGTGTCATAACTCCGCACCGAGGTCCGATTTTAACCCTTAGTCTGTCGCCCTAACTTCCTCTTCTACCACACTGATCATCGCAAGAGTTATCAGCATACAGTCATCTTTTAGTATAAAGATCAACTCTAGCTCATTCGGGAGATAGCGCGCTCTTCAGAAAGCTGCCCATTTGTTATCGTCGTCTTCCTGCAACCCCTTTCGAGTGCGCGGCCTCGAAGAAGTCTTGGAACGACATCTAGCACAAAACTGATCGTGCCAAGTTCGAATTTCCGGATGCGGCATTACTGACAGTACCGTCAGCCTCAAGGAAGGGCTTGGACCGACCACCCAACTACAGCTTATCTACCAAGTATTTGCACTGCCCTTCTAACGTATCACGATGAACGGTGTAGGGAATACGAGCAAAAGCCGCCGAAGATAGGAGTATACAAGAAGTCACACGTATAGCACTAGGCAAAGAGACAAAGTACTGAGGCATTGAGCAAATCTCCTTGTCATAGGGGAGCGACATTGTCAAAGAATGCCCGAAGAAGATAGTGTGGAGAAAGGTGCGCACTACGAACCGAATCCGGGAGCGAATTCGATATCGAGCCAACGTTGACAATCCCGCTACAGCCGACGTCCGCTGGGTATTCGGTACGAGCGTTATGTCGAGCCGACAACTACTCCTCGATCAAAAGGAGAGTGGCTAAAGATTGACAACTGGGCGTACTCGATACACCACCGCGGAAGTGCTTTCGTGTTTCCTGTATCGAGGAGATACCGGGTCTGCCCTCGCTTGCTTTGGCATGTCTCGAGCTCAACAAGGAGGCAGCAGTATCACAGGCTGTTCAGTCTTCCATAAGAGTAGAACTCCGGCTTTACTCAGGTCCCTATAAATGTAGAATGGCGCGCTCGACTGCCGCCATAACGGGTGCGCATGCTTCCTCTCACAGGCCGCGATCGCCCGAGACCTGGCGAAATGGATCCTCGCGAACGTCCTTGAAGCAGTACACTCGTGTGAGATGGTTTTACAGGGACGACAATATCGCGGAAGTTGCGTAGATCGTTTTGTTGTCGCATCATAGATCCGTAACTGACGAGCAAGATCTTGAGCCGGGATATCCACTTCCCGGAGTTGTGTCGTTGAAACATAGCAGTCAAATGAGAAAGCCAGGAAAAGCCATTGAGATACGAACTTCCCACAGTTTCCAAGTCAACAATGATGTAGAGCTGCGGGAAGCTCGCGATAGTACGTGCTAGGAGATCAAGCCATTGCTCGACAGAATCCGCGGCGCGAAACTGCGCACAACTCAGCGCAAGTGAGCGTTCTGTATGCTGTGAGATACTGAGCTGTATAGCCTGACATACCAACCCTTTGATGACATCTATGGCTGATGCGGAAGTTGCGCCATCCGCTGGTACCGACTTCAGGGCCCAAAGTGTGGGCACGGTCCGATTGCGAAGATCGTTGATGACGTCAACAGCGAAGCTCTGGACTTGGAATCGCGTACTATACTCGCCTTTCACCATGATCATAGTCGGTGATGATGCGGACTCCCAGGCGGTAAACTTCGGATTTAACCAAAATTGCGACCCTGCATCTGCTCTTGTTTGCCGAGCCCTGGTACGAGCGCGCATAAAGGCGCGGTATTGCAAGACTTTTAGCGGATCCAACGCATTGGCACCCGAGAGGAAGTCCATAATTTGGTTCAGTTGGAGATCAGTCAGGCGCTGATTGGTGTCTAGATTTGCACTTGTTTGGATTGACTGGTATGCTGCGCATCGTTGAGACTAGCGCTAGCGATTGCAAAAGTGACTTACAGATGAGTAACCCTCGCATTTCTTGGAGCATTTGTTCTGAACTTTGAAGCCTCTTGTTCAACTCCTGTATCTCCAGGTGCATGTCGCGCTGCTCCGCTTGTGCCCCTGCATTCGCTAATACTTCGATGGCCTTCGTGCACTCCCCTACATCTTGGATCAAGTCACTATAGTAGAGCTCGGTGGGCCGACTCAGAGCTTCCCACGTATGGCGTAGTTTGCTTTGCTGGAACCAGCGCTCCGCTCAGAGGAAAAATCGAATGATTCTGCTATAGATTTCGGATACCGCCTGTTGCATGCGGGCGGTGGGGTAGAAAGCATTGGCGAACTCCATGTGTGGTAGCACATCCGCGATTTGGCTCAACCCTTTAGCAAGGACTCTCAGTTGCTTCCCGTGGTTCTCAACCAACTGCGCTCAAGTACCAGTTCTTGTTTTACACACAATTGGAAGCAGTACTTACGACAAAGAGAAATTTCATTGCTCCCCATGCTAGGCTGACGTACTCAGGATGATGCTGGACAAGAACATCGAAGATTTGACCGTAATGGCAGATGCGCGACGCAAATTTCGACAACCACTTGGCGACTTTTTTCCCTTCATGCTCTTGCTCATATCTGGATCGCGCGTCGTTGAGGATGCTTTGCAGGTCATTGAGGCTCTGAAGTTGCTGAACTGTACCGAACCTCGCGCAAGTGCGGGAATCCAACTGGAATACGGAAAGCGCCTCTTTGAAAGCATTCTCGGCAGGATTGGCCGAGGAAATTGCCTGCGCATTTAGATACCACTGACGTTGTGACTGCATCGACGGTGTTGACATCCGTTATTTGGATAGGAAAAAATGTAGCATTGTCTTACTAACAAGATAGTTCGAACACGAACTTACAGTGAAAGGGAGGAGGCGTGAGAGGGGCTGGTGATCGATGGCTGAGGCGCAGCTGTTTGGCCCCCATATGAGACATCAGCTGCATGTCGTGAGGCTGAGCAATAGGGCTCCTGCATATAGGCGCGCAAAAGGTGAGTACAATGCGTGGTGCTACCCCTGACAGATGGAAAGACTAGATTGATAAGAACGACGTTGTCATAAATACCTCGTCACAGCACCCCCGTGGAAATCTACAAACATGCCACACAATGTTGTACGCCCCACTCCCCCTCTCCGTATAATCCGATGCGAAACGCAGAAGGTAGAAGATTCAGACACCAACCTTCTGGCCGACATAAGAGGCTATGCCCATCTTTCACATAATACAACGACCAAAAATGAATTAGATTGGCAACATTTGGGGCATGAGAGCAAACAAGAACGGCATCGCAAAGATCAAGAAATGGAGGACGATAATACCGACTCTACCTCGGATGATACCTCAGACTCTGCCTCATCCGGCTCTTCAATCCCGGATAGTACAAAGAGCGACCGTCCAGAAGCAGTATACGAAAATAGCACTCCGAATGCTGAGCGGTACTTATCTCGTAAGCGACGGAATGCCTTTGGGTCGCCAAAGGCACGGTCCGCGAAGCAGCGAAAAACAACTGCAATGCGTCGTACACCTTCAGACACGGTGTTGACGCGCACAAAACAAGGAAATTGTACATTGGGAGATGTATTGGATGAATTGAAAAACCTCCGAAAAGAAAACGAACGGTTACGACAGGCTGCTTGTGGGATATATATTCCCAGTCAACCTGCAATGCTCGCATATACTAGCAAGGTCTTCTACAAAGTCGGCAAAACCATGTATCTTGATGAACCACATTGGGAGCCTGCTGAAGGATCTGGAGTTGTGTTGCTGGGCAATAACCCGATCCGGAAGATGGAATACTATCTAGACCAACATCCTGAGATAGCCTTCGCCACCTATAAGGAGTATCGGGAAGCCCCACCCGCCGGCTACAGCAGAATGGAGACCAAAGATGGCATTTATCGTTCTCCAAAACCTACGCATGAATATCTCTCGCTGATAGCACCTGATATGATCGAAGCGGTCGAGGAATTTGTTCAAGCGATACCTCAATTCAGCGACTATTTCCCCTACTTCGATTCTAGAAGGAATATAGTAGCACCCTATCTTTTCATGTACTACAGTGCACCATTCCTACACGAAGTAGTACCAGAACCCAGAATACCCAACCAAAACCTCATCAAGCAGTTACACGCAGTAATTCAAGACAGCTATGGTGGCGAATACCACTCAGCAAGGCTCCAAGCAGATAAAGGTATGGTGACAAGTAGACATCTCAAGTATCTGATCAAACCTGGAGATGTTCTTGTTAGCAATGGACTGGCAGGAGAAGTTCCTTGAGCATGCATTGTTACGGGCTGGATCAAGGATCCGGAGAAAATGCTAAGAGAATCTCATTACGAAGAGTCAGATCATATTCAGAGCAAACTTATTCCCAGATACGGCCCTCTAGCTAATCCTGGGTCTAGTCACAAACTGAATACGTGGGTTTGGGAAGTTCCTGTGTGGTACTGGAAATTCGACGGCACCTATGCGAAACACGAAACTCGTGTAAACGTTGTCATGTCTCTTGGCTACGAAGAAGAGTCAGTTGAGATCAGAAATCTCAACAATTACCCTCTGCAGTATGCGGACAAAGAAATGAGATTGCTCCTTGAGAAGAGAGGCAGGACATTCTGGTCTCTCCGAAATAGACGATTTGTTTCATACCTGCGCTCCGACGAAGATGAGCTCCATAACGTATGTCTACTACACCAAGATATCTGAAACTTTCCCAAGAACTAATTTAATGGTCGTAGGTTGAAGACAGATATATGGTCGACACAAAGGCGTATAAGATGTTGTTCCCAAATTCGAAGATCGCGCGATTACAACTGAGGAACAGACTCAGCGCTACAATTATGGCACGCGACGAACCACCCGAAGAAGGCAATGCGCTTTTGGTAGCTCCATCGACGATCATGGCTCACAATCTACAAGAGAAGCAGTGGAGAGAGCTTTTGGTTGATCGCGTTACCGACATAGTATGGAACAAACAAGCCTTTGAGGATCTAGTCGCCGAACCAGAGACCAAGGAACTGGTGCAAGCGCTTGTTATGAAGAGAATCAATGCTAAAAAGTCGACTGACTTTGTAGCTGGTAAGGGAAATGGACTCATCATGCTTTTGCATGGAGCTCCTGGAACTGGCAAAACATTTACAGCTGAGGGTGTCGCCGAATTTGCAGAGAAGCCTTTACTCCGTGTGACTTGCGGAGATGTAGGAACAGATGCCGAAATCGTTGACCAGCGACTTCGCGCTACATTCCAGCTTGGAAGACTATGGGACTGCGGTATGTTTTCTTGCTTGTCTACAGGTGCTGAACCCTGCTAACGAGTGTAGTTGTACTTCTGGACGAAGCGGATGTGTTCTTGGAAGAACGTGACATGAAAGATCTCAAGAGGAACGCTCTCGTATCTGTGTTTCTCCGCGCGCTCGAGTATTATGATGGCATCTTAATTTTGACTTCAAATCGCGTTGGCACCTGTATGTTACTTCCGCATAGTCCTCGGCAGCGCTAATCACCAGATGTGTAGTCGACGAAGCCTTCAAATCTCGTATACAACTCGCCCTGCACTATGAAAATCTCGGAGTCATCCAACGTAGAAAGATCTGGCGAAATTTCATTGAACGCATGAGAACCCTTGAGGAATACTCTGATAGGGATCTGGACGAGATCCTCGACCATATTGAGGAGCTTGGTAGAGAGCCAATGAATGGACGAGAGATTCGTAATGTTATCACCATTGCGAGACAGTTGGCACAGTTTAGAGGGCCTCAGGAACGTTTTGGGTATCCACATCTCGAGCATGCTATTAAAGTGGCGAGCCGATTTAGCAGGTACCTGAAGGATATGAGGATGGACTTGACTGATGATATGATCAAGCAGGATAATGGGATCAGATTTTCATATACTGTGGTTCCGGCAGGTCTGGAATGAATCGTAAGAATACGTGTGTAGCCGAATGAAAGGATACTACTCGTCCTTTCAAATCGCACATATATCCATAACGAAAGGTTTCAATGTATCGTTAAAAAGTATCTGAGCGTACTCTCTGCTTCTTTCTTGTTTGTTGATGTAAATGTCTAGCCGCTAACCAACGACTCCTCACTCCCGACTAACCTCGACATGCCGACTAACAACAATACTGTCCTTGTTGTTATTCAAAAATCGATGGTTCTTCTCCAGAATCTCCTTCTGGCTCTCGCTATCGCTCGACACGCTACTACGACCACCGCGAACCTGTATCGAAGGAATATGCCCATCCTTGTTGTCCACGATGGTGCCGAGCTCGACTTCGTGGTCAAATGGCTTGTAGCGATGCGAACGGCCACCGTCGCCGCTGATACCATGCGGTGTACCTCCGGAATGAGGCTGCTGAGAGCCGCTTGAGCCGAGGTGCAGGAGGCGTTGAAAGAGTGGGCGAAGGGTCGCGATGTTTCCGACAAGCATGCCGAGGGCAGGTTCGGCGTAGCCCCAGATGAGGATGTTGGCGAGGCCATAGAGGTAGTCATGGCTGCTTGTCAGGCCAACGGTGTACTTTAGGCGAACTAGGCCAGAGACTGATGTGCTAAGGGGTTATTAGCGTTGAACGATAGCTAGGATCATGGGTATCATACAAGATACCTAAGCCCAGAATGCCGGCAACTGAGATCTTGGTGTTTCTGTTCATTTGCACGTTCCACAGAAGAGCGATTGGCATGAGTGCGGTGGCCCAATCGGTGAAAATGTTGACTGATGTGCAGAAGAAGTAAACGTTCTGCAGGTAGACTGATGGCTCGCAGTGTGTCCCTTCTGCCATTAGATCAGCTCTCCAAGCGGCCCTAGAGGTTGAACGATTAACAGTGCTCGAACCATCGAGGATCGCTTTGTACTTACTCAACGGGATAACATTGGAAGATGATGTAAAGGATGGCTGCTAGGTTGGTGGCTGCGCAGAGACCCATGATGGCGTAGTTGATGTAGATGAAGATCATCCTTCTTCCAGCTATCCGGTTCAGCATGAAGGCGATGCTCAGCTTGATGAAGATGATGGAGGTGCAGTAGAAGATTTGATAGAAGAAGAACCAAAAGTACGCCGTCTCCACATATTTCTGATTGCCAGGCCGAGCGAAAGTACTATCTTTGGCACCGATGCCGTAGTAAGAACCGATAGTCGTGACAATGGTAAGTGTCATAAGAGGCAACTGGGACGAGTGAGCTGTAAGATTCTTTGATATTCGAGAAGGATGGAAACGTACGCATCCGACTGCCATTATCCAATCCTCAAGAGCCCAGCTTCGATTGATGATTCTGACATATGTGCGCATACCCATCGTTATGAAGGCCAGCAGTCCTGTCGTGAGGACTGTCGCCGTGAGGTTGGGGCCCAGATCCTTCTCCACAGTCAGCTCTACGTAAATTCGTGTGATATTAGTTCACTTCACCTCATGTAGCACCATACTGATAATTTCCTATCGATCAGAATGAGTGTCGAATTGTAATGCGTTGGGGTTGGTTCTCTTAAACAACACGCAACGGTGGACGGGCATGAAGCGGTGGGGAAGCTTTTAGCATTATTGGTGCCTTCAAGTACGGAATGCAAACGGTCTGGTCCAAGGCTCCAAGGGAGTGGAACGCTTTACCTTCACTGCCTCGTATAAGATCGTCCCAGAATTTCCCGGAGCCCCATTCACCCGCATGGATGCGCATCCTGATGATCGGCGTGCTGAGAGAAGAACATGCAGTGCGTCTCCACCATCACGACTTGTCTTGCTGCCCCTGGTACTCGATATCACTTTGTCTCGTTTCCGGCTACATGCATCCCCATGGATATCGTCACACCTTAGCATTCCGCCCGAGATGACAGGCCGCGCGTTGGAATGAAGTTTGTGTACGACTGTGCGCATCTCTGGTCAAGCCTTTGAACGCGAACACGATTTGTCGGACGAACAGACAGACGCCAATGGAAAGTTGAGTGGGTTTCGGACCGTTGTGGAAATTTGGCATTCTGCATCGATCTCAGGTGAGTGACACGAACAAGGTCGGCGATCCTACGCTAATTCGAATAAAGATATGATCATCCCGTTCTTCCTCGCAATCATTCACGGCTGGTTTCGCTTGGGACGTTCCGCAACTTTAACGACCACTGCCGAGCTCCCCGCTGCTGACGTGCCAACGCTTGTGAAACATGGATGTACTGGAATACTTCCCGGTGCGATACGAAGACGCGCAGAGGCGAGTATCGCGGCCTAAATGCGGGGCCTCATACTCCTGAAGCCTCGCATAAGTTATCGCTATCGTCTGGGTTCCGTAGCATCTCTGATTAGTATCCTTCTCGTACAGCATTCCACCATATCGGTCGTATCCTCCCGATCCTCCAAAGCCCAATTGCAACCACACCCACCATGGCAGACCTAAGCAAACTTCCGAAAGACTTCTACGTCACGTCCATGCAGTTCAGCAAAAATGCACACCAAGACGTATACCCTGCAATCGATCCCAGTAGCCCAGAGCATAGCCTGGAAGGAAAAGTTGCAGTTATAACTGGAGCTTCGCGTGGTATTGGAGCCATGGTATGTTGAAACATTATTCACCGAGCACATCGCCTTTCACAACAACCTGGTGTCATGATTGCGTGTGCTAAGACTTAGTCCCGCAGGCCATGGTACCAGCCTTCGTAAAGGCAGGCGTAAAGGGCGTTGTACTGCTAGCTTCGAATGCCGAAAAGCTCGCAGCTACCGAAAAATCCGTCAAGGTGTCCAACCCCACCATCGAAACGTTGACATATGCTCTCGACATCTCCGACACCAAAGCCGTTGAGGCTGCCTTCGAAGCGATCCGGCAGAAGTTCGGCCATGCGGACGTCCTCATCAATGCCGCCGGTGCCATGACTGGAGACGGACCGAAACTACACGACACAGACCCCGATCAATGGTGGAGGAACTTTGTAAGATCCGATCCGTTCCTTAGCCCGCAGTAAACTGAGTCGTTTTACTGATGGAGCTGACAACTCGGTTGTAGGAGATCAACGGGAAAGGCAACTATCTGCTCATCCGCTCGTTCCTGCGTTTGTTGCCGAGCCCCCATACACCTGCCAGTATCGTCAACGTGAGCTCATGGCAGGCGTTCTTCACGGTTCCACCGCTCGGCGCATACTTCATGTCAAAGTATATTCTAGATGCCCTGGCTACGTACGTCGCTGCTGAGTACCCAAATGTTACCGCAGTGTCGATGCACCCCGGTTTAGTCGCTACTGATATGCTCCGCGAGCCCTTCCGATCGCTCTTCAATCAGGATAGCCCCGAGCTTGTCGGCGGTACTGCCGTTTGGTTGTGTCAAGAGAAGGCGAAGTTCCTCAGCGGACGCTTCATCGCGGCGAACTGGGACGTGGAGGATTTGCTTAGCCGCAAAGAAGAGATCATGAAGGACGACCTGCTCAAGCTGACGCTCAAAGGTCAGTTTGGAGTATGAACGTTGTGAGCAAACTAGTTTCTAAAACACTCGCGATTGTTATTTCGTGATATGACCCTCTCGCCAGTTCGCGTAAAAGGGCGGGCATGTCTAATGAATGTGGTCTTGCGTCTCTTTAACTATTCGTACCACATGCCTTGCTCCCTCAGAAGATTTCCTCTCATACCCATGGCCCCATGCTCTCTTTTTGATGAATGCGACGTGGGAAATAGTCGTCTGACCTTACCGTCAACATTGATGAATGTGTGATTTGAGATCCCAAGTCCTTACTGTTATGCCATATCGTACTAGAGCAACTCTGGCTGTGTTTGGAGCGATCCAGGTTCGCGACGTGATGTGGTGATGCTTCGCGTGGGAGGTACTGGCGGCAAACATGTCAACGTGGGGGAGGAGCTACCAGATGACGCTAACCCCGCATACCCCTCCCAAACGATTGCCTCTGAGGACTGCTACCTAGCCAAGCTGGACCATCCTCTCTTCGCATCTCTGTACGGCATTAATCACACTCCGCCTGCGTAAAGTAGCAACAGCGGATAACGATGGCTTTGCCGCTGTCCCTAAGAACACTTGGTCTGGTCCGCAGCAGTGCTTTGATTGGATAACTATGCCTACGATGGCTCTCGCGGATTTGTACAGCACACTGGACATGTTCGCACTTATTGGAGTAACGGGTCGATCATCTGGCAGACCGGGAGCATTCTGGCGTGCGGATGACTAGTAGATGAGTACGCGTGTACGCCTGAGAGTCTGAGACCAATACAGAAAAGAGGTTGGAACCAATATTATCTCGGTAGGTCAATTGCAATGCTTATAAATTGCACAAAACATCCAATCTTTTCATGACCTTCGTCGATGACCTATTTGTACATGACAATGGCTGCCCCGACTACTTGCAAAGAAGTTTAATGCAATCAAAAATAGCACGGATGCGTTGACAGTCGAGCCTTCAGCTGAGTTTCGAGGCTTGTCAGAGAGAACCATTTATTCGTACATCACGTCCGAGTCCAAGTTGCGATGCTCCTACCGTCACGAAAGTGTTGCGCGACGTGATCCATCCTCGTGGTGACAGATTCGAAAGTCCGCCCACAGAAGCCACACCAACAGGAGTCCGGTTCATAAGCCGATACATCTACCTGTCTCGACCATTCAAGAGGAACTGTGAAGTTCTTTTGGACTGGGATGGGTTCGCCTGCGAGGTGCACACGCATGACGTGCTGCTTGAGGAGATCCTTCCGGAAAAATGTACGCTCGGTGGTACACTTGTCCGAGCAGTGTGCGATCGCATGTTTGGTTAGGTGATCGATCGAATCCATCGCTTCCAGGCAAAAGATACATTCAGAACGCGCCTTGAATGCTTCTGTCAGCATGCAAATCCACTCCTGGTCCCTGTACCCATGCACCCCAGCCTCATGTCTCTTCCAATCGGATGTGTTTTTGAATGATTCATAGCATCCAATCACAGTACAGAAAAATCGATTCTCAGGCTTGCCCAGACTAAAGGATGCGATGGGTATTGGCATTTTGTCGGACATGTTCTCACCTACGCCGGCTTGATACGTCTGTGCGCGATGCCTCCGGCCCTTGCGCTTCGATGCAATAGAGCTTCGAGCGGCAGATATTGAGGGGGTTGTTTGACAAGCTGAGTCTGCTTCGAATTCTTGGTGTATCTGGGCCACGATACCAGGGATGCTGTCTGGTGTAGGATAGCCTGTATCGAATGAGGAGGGCCATTGGCTGCTATCGTTCGTGTCCGTCGTATGTGGCGAGATGAAACTGGAAGGCAACATCTGGTGTGCACTGACTGTAGAGGTCGATTGTACGTGGTCCAAAGTCGTAGGCGTGACGTCGCATGGTTGGCGGCAAGTAACTTTGTCGCCGTTTTGCCCGTTAGCATGGCCCTCTAACACTGATTGTGTTGTCAGTGAAGGTTGCAAAGTCAGGCCTGTGTGACAGACTTACGGTGTTTTTCCCTAGTGCGCAGATTGCTCAAACAATTTTTAAGTTGACGTTCAGTGTATCCGGTCGCTGCGATTAGCTCTGTCTTCTCGGCTGGGGTGGGATACGGCCAAGATGCGTGGGCTGAAAGCCAGTCCCGAACAATTTGCGGCCGTTTTTGACGTTCAGTCGGTTTGGAACCAATGCGACATGGCTCGCGCTGCAGGGGTGGGGTTTGCAGATAACTGTCTTGCTCATCGATGATGTCTAGATGCTGGAATCCCTGGTTCTGCATCCAAATATCAGGATCAAAACCCTCTCCATGAGCATATGCCCCAGAGATGTCGTAGGTAACAAGATCATTGTGCCTTCCCCAAGGATTTGCCGAATCTACATGCTCTTGCACGGTATCAGAGCGATCGACATCGAAGACAGGCGGAGACAGCTGCGCATCGAGGCTGGGAACAATAAAAGCTTTGTCGATTACTATGTCACTTGGGCATACACAAAGACCGTGGGGTGAGCTTTGGACGAAGTTATCGGAGAAGTCGCCGACATGCAGGACGGTGCCAGCAGCATCAAAGGGGCTGTCAAAGTCAAGATGCAGTTCGCTTGAGTTGTACTCAGGGACGTTTCCCTCATCCGTTCCTTCCAATGGTCTATGAGAAAGGTAGCTGATGCAACATCTTGTCAGCACTATACAGATGAGTTCCAAGCTTGAAACAACAATGGGCGGCGTGCGTGCGCGACTTAAGTGCTGTGAGCTGTGTGCGCAATGTCATGCGCAGCACTTCTTTTGTGGCAATTAAATGATAAGTAAATTCTGGTAGTACCTCTGTTCGTTGTTGTTTGTACCATCAGCGTAAAACAATGGTGTTGGATGGTATGATGGCTGGATAACCTGCTGTGTTGTAAGAGCAACGCCGAGAACTAGCCAGATTGGGTGCGATTGTCACCGCCGGTCAGCGCGGGTCTGGCATACTTACGTCTGTGGGGGGCGTGTCGGTCATCGGAGGCGAAGGATCCATAGCTCCAGCGCCAAGCCTTTCCTGGTCGAACCGAGTACAGAATTGAACACAACACAGCAACAAACGTCCAGAAAACGATTTTGACAGTGGGAAGAAGGTGGTAAAGTCTCAGACAGACTCGAGAGTTCATTTTCAGCCTTCATGATGATTTTCAAGGCGTGGCAGCAAGACAGTAGTTGAAATGCAGCTCAGGTGTTGATTTACCACAGTGACATATAGTGGCCAATCACAGTAATTCATGCTGGTCAGTCATGTTAGCGTCGGTTGGCCATTAATCACGTAGGGAAGAAATCCAACTCCCGAGGTTCACCCGACACTCACGTGACTGCTGTGGCGTTGCTGTAATGCCAGACTGCCACTGCGTAATAACACTTTCGAGTTTTTCCCGCACCCAATGATCCTTGCGCGTTGTTTTCGAGAACTGTAAGATGCGGTACTACGTGTTGTAGTCATGCGCCAGCGCTTGCGAAGAGGTCAAATATTCTTGGGGTCGAACTTTAACATCGCCGCATGAACGGAAACACGGTAAGACCAAAAACCTCGCTCGACAAACATTATATTGTTCTCTCAACTTAGACTTCTACGTTCTTGGTACACATGAGTCATCCTGTTCCATTCTGTCTCAGTTCCAGCGAACATCCGCCACTGTATTCACATTACCTAGCTCATTATATGAACGGTCACCCTAACGCCAAGTCGGAAGCCTGCTATTATGCAGTCACTTCAACATGGTGGATATTTGAGACTCCGATCACTATGAATGATTGGAGGGTGTTATTGATGATGTTTTGTCCGTTCGTAGCAGTCATAATATGTGTGTTATCTACAATCACCCTCCATGTACGCCATTGCCGTGTAGGCACAAAAGAAAGATGTTATGAAAATGAATGTTGCAGATAGTCAATCTCATGTGGGCCTAATATCAGGGGTGTTCAGCCTCGAACCCCATGAACTGATCTGAAAACCGTCTCGGAAGTGTTGCGCAACGTGGTCCATCCTCGCGGCGGTAGTCGCGGAGGAACTTCTGCAGAAGCCACACCAGAGACCATCCAGATTCGGTGAGAACCCGTCTTCAGTCTCCGACCAAGTATCTGGAGGCTCAAATCCTTTCCTGGTGTAGTCATTCGCGGTGGAGAGATGCGCCCCCAGGACGTGCTGCTTGAGACCATCCTTGCGATCAAACACCCGCGCGCTCTTGTCCTTCTTCAAGCAGACCTGGATATTGTGTTGATCGAAGTGGCTCACATCATGGACGAGATCAGAGCAGAAGACGCACTTCATACCCGGCATGATAGCGACGTTGTCGAGCAAGCAAAACCAGCGAGTGCTGCCGAAGTGATGAACTCCGGCTTCGTGCCGCTTCCAAGAGTATGGGTTCTTGAAAGACTTTTGTGGGCACACTGTGCAGTGATAACGATTGGCAGTGTCACCACTGCCATCACTGGAAGAATCTCGTGGATGTATTGTTGTCCCCGTCCCATTGGTAGGAGAAGGCCTGGATACATACCGTCTCTTGCCCTTCCGCCCTGAATTGACGGCAGTTCCAAGCGAGGTATGACGACGAGAAGCACCAGAAGCATTGACATTAGCGTCTGAATTATTACATAGTTCATCGAGTACTGGGAAAGAGTCAGTCTTTGGCCTGTATCAAGCATCTCTAACACTAACCGTGTCTATCACGCTTTCTAAGATTAGTCAATCGCCGATTCAACTGAGGGATTGTCATGCCGGCAGCAGCCGCAAGCTCTAGCTTCTGTTCGGCTGTAGGATATTGATCGAAGGGGTGGGCGTGAAGCCAGCGCCTCGCAGAGTCCATGCGTCCATGAGTAAGGCTCCTTCCCGAATCTTTGGACGTTTCGCTTGTATGAGAGGCAGGCGAACGTTCATTAAGGGCAGTGAGCGAGGAGTCGTCCGTCCACCTCGAACTTGGTATTGGAGACGTTGAATTCAGATATGTGGTGCGGTCGGCATTGCCGCACCAATCGACTAATGGATTGAGGTCTCCATAGTCAAAAGAAGATGGCATCAACTCTAGATCTGAAAGTGCTACATGTCCAGGTATGGTAGCTCCAAGAGACTCTTGAAGCCAGGGCGGCTCGCTTAGCTCTTGTATGGAGGGCTCTGAGAACGCGGCGCTAGCACCGAACTCGTCGTTGTAGGTATGTTCGTGTTCAGATCGAGTCCAGAGCCATAGCGTTCGAACATGCTGTGAACTGTCAAGAGCATCACTGAATACTGGCGGCGCTTGATCGCAAGTGGTGTACCTGCCATGTCATCAGTACGTCGCCTAGGGTGCATGCAAAGCCAAGTGCCTCAGAGAGTATGATGTCATAAGTTGTTCCATCTACACACTTTGAACGGACGACACTTTCAAGAGCAACTTACTTACCATAGAGTGCGAGCATCGATCGTTGTGGTGGTTGGAATGTGGTAATTGTTGTTGGCCGATAAGGCTGAGGAACATAGTGAGGCGGTCCTCCGCTGGCGACTCGCTGGCGGGGGCCGTCGATTTGTGTCCATTTTCAGCGTAGGTCAGACCTTTACACGAGTATACAACCACGCGACGCGATTAAAACGAGCTGAAAAAAAGTTTTGATGGTAAGAGGCACTCTCTACGATCGATCTGACATTATTTCAGCCTTTTGAGATGAGTTTCAAGGCGAGAGTGTTTTTCAAGTTCGAGTTCACACATTTGTGCACGGATCAGGTGGCCCGCCGCCTTGGGTCCCGAATTGGAATCGCGATCATGTCTTGTTCAGTTCTTACTGAACGCAAAAGTTCAACGAATCATTACGTTCATGCGGATGCGTTCTATCGTATTCGTTCAACATAAAGAGATATCATCAGTCGGTGAGAAGTGGTTGAGATAAAGACTATCGCAGAATCGCGCAGCGAAACGTACCGGGGACAGTCGAATCTGTACGTTTTACTAGACGAGCATTGTACATGTACAAGCATATGATTTTCGACAAAGAATGTAGCTGTAGGCATTCTCCAACACAGATTATCACATCGTGAAAAGATTGTAGTTCAAAACACATCATCATATTCTTCTCATGTATATACAGTATAATCTAGGCCGTCACAACATCGCGCAACACCCTAAGCCTCAGCAGCAGCCAAGATAACATCCGCCGCCTTCTCAGCAACCATGTATGTCGACATGGCAGTGAAGGTACCCGGAATCCTAGGGAAGACAGACGCGTCAACAACCCTCAATCCAGCAGTACCACGCACCTCGAAGTTGCTGTTGAGAACCGCCATCTTGTCGTCGTCAGCACCAATGGGGCAGGTAGACGAAGCGTGGTGACCCCAAGCAACATCCTTGGCGTACTGAGCAATCTTCTCCGGGGTATCAACATCCTTGCCAGGAAGGACCTCATCGATGGGGATGAGCTGGCGCTTGAAAGAGTCACGGGCGAGGTTAACAGCCTCGGTGAGGGCAGTAAGATCCTTGTCGTAGTCGCCAGCACCAGTGTCGAAGTAGTTGTAAACAATGTCAGGCATGTCAAGAGGGTCGGCAGATGCGAGCTTGACGGTACCAGCGTTGTTGCGGGGGTGAGCCTTGAGGATGGCCCAGGTGAACCAGTCGTGCTCGGCAGTGGCATTGTAAGCGTAGTTGGGGAAGTAACCACGGAAGTTGACGGGGCCACCGAAAGCAAAGATGTCGTACTCGTCACGCTCGGATGCGCTGGACTTGTAGAACATGGTTGCGCCGAGACCGGGAGAAGCGTAGATACCACGGTTACCCAAGACGCTGGTCTCCCAGCGGTCCATGCAGGCGTCGGGCTGACTGTTACCGAATGTGCAGCCGTTGAGTGCGGAGAAGTCGGTGGGGGCCTTGCCTTGGACGTTGATCTCGTAGTGGTCCTGGAGGTTGGTTCCGACACCGGGGAGGTCAACAACGACGGGGATGTCGAACTGGGAGAGCTCATCGGCAGGGCCGACACCACTCAGCTTGAGGAGTTGGGGCGAGTTGTAGGTTCCACCTGCGACGATGACTTCCTTGGAGGCAGTGGCGGAACCAGCCTCACCCTTGGCACCGGTGGACTTGGGGCTGGCCTTGTAGAGGTACTGGCCGTCGAGGAACTCGACACCGGTAGCGCGGGGAGGAGTGACATCCTGGTCAAAGGTGACCTTGGTCACGTGGCAGTTCATCCTGACATCGAGAGGGTACTTCTTGCTGCCATCATCGGCCTTTGCGTCACGGACAGCGAGGACAAACTCGCGGGATCCGCCACGCTTGCCATCGGAGGTAGAGAGAGGGATCTGGTAGAGAGCGGGCTGCTTGTCACGGCTCTCGGTGTCGGCGTTGGCATCACCGGCGACCAAGGTACCAAGGTTGACAATGGCGTTGGTAGCGTTGCTGAGAGCGAAAGCGGCACCACCGACCAAGCTGAGAAGCTGGGGGTCAGAGGTGACGATGTCGATGGGGGCGTAGTCGGTTCCTAGCCAGCCATCGTAACCGTGACCCTTTTGGCCGGGAAGGAGGTATTGGTTCTTCTCGAGCTTGGTGAAGTACTTGCGCATGTTGTCGGCTGACCAGGAGTCGTCACCAGTGATGGTGGCAACATTGTCAAAGTCGGACCGGTGAGGGTAGACGGCGATGAGAGCGTTATGCGCTGTGCAGCCACCAAGGGTACCAGTGCGGGGGTATAGCGTACCCTTCATGGTAGAGCCCTCTGGTGGGTTAAGACCAGTGTACTCACCACCATCGGGTGTCTCGTAGGTAGTCTTGAAGTCGCGAGCTTGCCTCTCCTCATCAGCGTAGTGCTTGACGAAGAAGTTCCAGCTCAAGTTGGCGTCTTCCGAGGACCTCGCGCTGAAAGCGGGAACGGTGTAGTTGGCGTTTGCGCCCTGGTCGTCACCGGCTTCGATAAGAAGGGTCTTGTGACCAGCGAGGGCAAGGCGGGCGGCCAGAGGCTGCAGTATGTCAGTGATGATTCAATCCATCCAAGTATACTTTGACTTACACCACCACCAGCTCCAGAACCGACGACTACGTACTCATAGCCGGTAAGATCGACAGCTGCCGCAAGGATAGGGAAGGCGGCGACGAGGCCGATTAGACGAGGGAAGAACATGGTGATTAGGTATTACTTTGCTGTCCGGGGTGGGTATTTAAAGAAAGAATGTGACAGAGGCTGTAAAGTGGCCTGCTTGATCCCATATCGTGCAGTCTCTTCAGTCTTTATAATTTCCTGCATTCCATCAGTCGATCGCATATGTCGGCTTTCCCCTGGAATAGGGGATATCTACCGGTGGTGGCCTGCAACGCCGAACGACCTCGACCTCGGACGAAACCCATTGGAAGGCGGTTACCAAACAGATGGTGTTCAGTAGTTGCGGTGGTTGATCCTTTCTCGGTCTGGAAAGCAATGCTTTGAGTCGGTCCGGTGCGTAGATCATACGGGTCCTCCATGGATACCCTGTACTTCGCAATTTGCGCCACGGGAGGGTGCCGTCGAACTCAGAACGATTATGACGGCGGTCCGTACCTGTGCTAGCTGAGGAATCTTGAGAGTCCTTGCTTTTGGCACTTGGAATCTATCCGAAGAAATTATTCGAAGACGACCACTAGATTGAGAGGCTTCTCCATCCAGATATCTTGCGATTGCATCCAGGTATGGATCTTGTGGCAAGATACGTCCGCGGAAAGGCGACGCCTTCCCCATTCTGCTTCCGCACCGACCTCAGAATCCAGTCTATTCCATGTCTCTTCCCAGGTCTGTCAATTCCAATTTCTCCTGTCAGGGACGCTTACCCTGGTCTGTCAATTCCCAATTGCCGGACGTTCCTCCCGCTTCGGAAGGGACCTCCACAGCTACAACGGATGTGGAGTAAACGGGCCAGGGACAAACGTGCGCTAGCACTTAGCGTGGGTTAGCGTCAACGTGCATTGAAAACCCTCTGCACCTGGACGGGCTTGGACTTTCGCGATTAGGCGCCCAGCATCGCACCCAGGTAACGATTATCGCCAGAGCGGACACTGGAAATAACGTGGTCATCTGTAGATTGCCGACTTCATCGCCGAGGAACAGATGACGAAGCATACCACGTGGGATGATAGTCATAGAACTGACGCAGGAACCAGCTTTTTGTCTTCTTGGCCCACGAGGCTGAGGCCAAAAGTGGGACTGACTCAAATATTCTACCCACCAAACTGCTCGCCATGCGAACGCCATGTTGAATTCGGCATTCGGGTCTAACTCCACAACACCTTTTTCCTTAATGCTCCACTCGCTCCAATCGCATGCGTTAAGGCGTACGTTCCTGCGTTCTCCCGCCCGGTAGCTGCGCCTCGTCCGAGAACTCTCCTATCCGTTACCAGGTTGTTCCCTTGCATCCCATCCGCCCCGAAACTATTCTTATTCCCTCAATCTATGGTTGCCCAGGCCATACAGCGTCGGCGATGCTCCTTACAAGCTGCAGCTTCTTCCTCATATCCTCGTAACCGAGACTGTTACCTTCGGCGTGTGACGCGAAGCCGCACTGGGGGCTGACGCAGCATTGCTGAAGGGCATCTTCACGGGATTGGCCGGTACCCTTTGCGATCCAATCAGCAGCCTGGTTCACCCTTGCGATCATCTCATCCTTGTCCTCAAGCTTGGGGAACTTGGATGTGATGACACCGAGAACGACGTTCTTGTCCTTGGGAAGGTGTGCTAGTGGCTCGAAACCTCCTGCGCGGGGGGTGTCGTATTCCAGGTAGTATGTGTCGACGTTCAGGTCCTGATATGGTCAGTACGAAGGAGATGTTGCACATGGGGGAGGATGGGTACCTGGAACAGCTTCTTGGCAATGTTGTCGTATGCGCCCTCTGAGAAATGTCGGCTGCCGACGTAGTTGCCGCGGCACAAGTGGATGCCGAGATGCATGTCATCGGGACGTACGAAACACTTGTTGTAGAACTTGACATATGCATCAAACATCTCGTTGGCAGTCTTGTCGTTCGTCGTGTCGGCCTTCCAGCCCGCAAGCATATCTTCTGAGCAGAAGTAGGCCAGGTTTGGGTCATCGATTTGAATGTTCCTGATACCCTGCGCGTGGAGGATCTTCAGCTCCTCCTGGTATGCCTTCGCGACATCCTCGAAGTATTCCTCGTCATTTGCATAAACGTCCTTGGGGTAGGCTCTTCCGTTCATGTAACGGAAGTGGTACCACGATGGCGAAATCAACGTGATCTTGATGTTCTTCCACTCGGTCTCAGGCAAAAGGCTCTTCATAAGGTCGACTTCGCGCTGGTTGCTCGACGTGCCGGGGTGCTTAATCTTGTCGACGCAGACAGTTACATGGTTAGGGACCTGTTTCGCTTCCATGAAGGACTTGGTATCAGGCGCATACGCGCGGAACATGTCCACGGTGTAGCCCTTCAAAACGCCGAGTTGGAGTTCCTTCATTCCATGCAGTGTTTCGAAGAAGGTACCCCAGAACATGTGCCTGCATAAACAATCAGTCTAGACTTGGACTAGCAGTATGCAGTCACCTTACCTGGTGTACTCTCCACTCGACACTACCTTGAGACCGCAATCTTGCTGAAACTTGACTACCTCTGCGACAGTCTTGTCCTCCAGAGGGACGAGCTCCTCTGGCTTAGCTTTGCCTGATGCAACATCGTAACGCTTCTGCACAAGCTCCTGGGGACGGAGCAATGAGCCAACGTGCTCGGCGCGGAACGGGGGGCTTCTCTTGAGGGACGACGACATTTTCAATGCGATAGTATGGATAGCTCAGACAAAGAGTACGAGATGAGAACGAAGCAATTGGCAGGAGAAAACTTTGCCCCTCATCTTGTCCACTTGCCCCGCAATCACCACCGCTCATTAAGGACCGTTGGACCCTTCATCAACCCCGAAAGACCCATGCTCAGACGCCGGAGAGCTAGTAAGCGAGGCTTAGTATATAGAGCGTTGACGGGATTGGAAGAGCAATTGAAGGTGGCGGGTAGGCAATGTGGGATGCAGCTCGAGCTATGGTGGGGCCTTTGATCGATAAGAGAGGCGCCGCCCCGATGTCAGCACCGAGAGCCATGTGGTCAAAGAAGCTGGCGTCTTTGGGTTTCGCTTCCATGATGCCCTTCTTACCACAATCACATACTTTCGGATGCGCGCAAATAGTTTCTAAGTTTGTCGCAGAGAAAAAGCGATACCGCAAATACATTCTGTTCTGGGTACTTTGAGGCGCAAGGCGTGTGCGGAGGCAGACTGGAACAAGTCGAACATGAAGATCTGGCTATGCTGTGGGGTGTACTGGGAAGTTCACAGTCCCTTTGGCAAACCAAAACGACCTGAGGCTGCAGATCAGCAGTTGTTTGCCGTGCCACGAGAGGGGGACACAAAGACACAATATGCCCCACCAAAGGTGTCGCATCGATGAGAATGACGCAATGCTCTGGAGACCCAGCATCATCGAGCCGCGGATATAACTACGAAAAGAACAGCTTTCGTAAGCAACGGCGGCAGTTACAACGGCGAAAGAGAGTAAATTCCGAGTTTCGGGAAAGCGCTACCCCGCGCTAGGTGGGATGTCGATAGCTACATATATGCTGTCATTGCCTCCGTGGCTTCAAGTCCAGATCTTGACCTGAAGAAACATTTACGCAACACCTACAATCGAAATACAAGCAATATGACGCGAGTTCTACTCACAGGAGGAAGCGGCTTCATCGCCGCACACACACTCGACATCCTGCTAGACCACGGACACAGCGTGGTTACCACGGTGCGCACGCAGGAGAAGGCGGACAAGATCAAGGAGTCGTACAAGAGCGCAGTCGAGAAGGGCCAATTGAGTTTCGCAATTGTGCCGGATATTGCACAGCCGGATGCTTTTGAGAAGGCAGTCATCTCAGACCCTCCGTTCGAGGCTGTACTTCACACTGCTAGTCCGTTCCATTTCAATGTTACAGACGTACAAAAGGTGGGTACACTTTGAAGCCTTGAAATAGGGCTGTCCACTGATGAAATACAGGATTTGATTGACCCTGCAGTCATTGGAACAACTGGAATCTTGAAGTCGATCAAGAAAAGCGCGGTACGTTGATATGTGTTAGGCACCTTCTGCGCGCATGCTGACATGACCATGTAGCCTTCCGTCAAGAGCGTCGTCATCACATCCTCGTTTGCCGCCATCGTTAACGGAAGCAAAGGCTTCTGGCCGGGACACTCGTACTCAGAGGACGATTGGAACCCTATCACACAAGATGAGGCGCAGGAGAACCCAATGATGGGATACAGAGCGAGTAAGACGTTCGCTGAGAACGCGGCATGGGAGTTTGTCAAGAACGAGAAGCCCAACTTTACCATCTCTACGATCAACCCCCCAATGGTGTTCGGGCCAATTGTAAGTTGCAGAAGGCTCGTTCAAACACTTTCACTAACACAACACAGGTACATGCTCTAGACAGTCTCGACAACATGAACACATCAAACCAGCGAATCCTGTCGGCCGCACAGGGTAAATTCAAGGACGAAATTCCTGCCAGTGGAGTACATCTGTGGGTGGATGTCCGCGATGTTGCAGAGGCACACGTAGCTGCGTTCGAGAAGCCAGACGCTGCCAACAAGCGCTTCTTCGTCACGGCTGGATACTTCTCCAACAAGGAGCTATGCCAGATCATCAAGAAGAACTTCCCAGAGTTTAAAGACCTGCCCAGCGACGACACACCTGGCGGCGACTACCCAGAAGGCACTCCTGAGAAGGGTCTGTATGGATACAACAACAAGCGCTCCATTGACGTTCTTGGCCTGAAGTACAAGACTTTTGAGCAGTCCATCGTTGACTCTGTCAAGTCATTCCAGAAAAAGGGGTTGTAGAGATCAACGTGAATTGCGCGTAATGGCAGACGTAGGATATTGGTACGATTCGATTCGCTATGTATACTATCTAGGCGGCGCGCTTGGTCGAGCGCAAAAGCATCTGTCGCATGCATAGTGATCTAGAAGACGACATGTCAGCATTTAGCATCCTCAAACGGTGGAGAATACAAAGTGGAGATGAGCAATCAGCCTGTTGAGCTTGAATTATTTTGGACTTCACCGTGGTTTACGAAGCCACTCGGAAGTTATCGTTTGTGTTGATCATCATGTTGCAAGGAGATGAAGATGAATGGGAAGTGCTTACCTGTAGAATATGAGCGCGACGCTGACCACCGCAAGCTGCATAAAGCTTGATGTTGGCCGGCGATGGCGCTCTGGAGTGGAAGAGCAAGCGCGACGAGCTTGGAAGAAAATGACAGCGCTCGGCTCAAGGTCGGGCCGAGATCGTACCAGGACTAGCGCGTGCCCCACCAACGAAGCCCATCGATGGCGGGCAGTGACAGCAAAAGCCCAAACACTTTCTCGAGATTTCCACGTCACATCGTCATATCGCCGTCGCGTAGCAATTCCCCAACCCCGCAACCGACTCCAGCCTCCATCAGACAATCCACGTCGAGGAACCGCAAATATGTGTAAGTTGTCCGTGTCTACCCCACTACCACGGCTCCGATGCGCATGCGGTGCAGGTGTACAGCTTCGGATCGTGATCGCAAGGCTACATCGAAACATGCGGAACTCGTAGCAGGCGCCCTCGATCTCGTTCTCATATCGCGCCCTCTGCACACGCTCAAAACTGACTGTTTCACCTTAGCCGACTTCAACGCCATTGCTCGTATGTACCACGCGCTGCATACACCGCGCACAACCCCGCCTACACATCCTCGCACGCTCCACCAGCCAAACCGCGAACGCGACTGACCCACGCTCCAGAGCAGTTCGTCCAGTTCTACTACAAGACCTTCGATGAAAACCGCGCTGGTCTCGGTGCCCTCTACGTATGCGACTCAGATGAAACGCAGATGCGCGAAAAGCAGCAGATAGCTGACAAATAAATACAGAAGGAGCATTCTATGCTCACCTTTGAGCAACAACCAACTCAGGGTTCAGCCGCCATTGTAGAGAAGCTCCAGGTAACAATGACTCCCTGATACGCAACAGGGGTTGGAGCTAATTCGGAGAAGAACCTGCCATTCCAGGAGATCCAACATCGCACCGACACCGTCGACGCTCAGCCTTCTGCTGACGATGGTATCCTCGTTCTGGTCACTGGTGCGCTTCTGGTAAGTCGATCCCTTGTATTGCATTCCGTCTCGATTTAACATCAAACAGCTTGCGGGCGAGTCCAAGCCAATGAGCTTTACTCAGGCTTTCCAGCTCAAGAACGCTGAGGGCAACTGGTTTGTGCTAAACGACGTTTTCCGTCTCGTATACCCCGCCGCATAGAGTGCTCTCTCTTTGTCTAAGCTTCGCTTCATGGCGGTGGTTGCAGGTGCATACAGAGAATCGCGGGATCTTTGCGACTTTGCCACGACTGACGCGGTTTCCTTTTACGGGTTTTGAGCATTTTGGCAGGAGAAACGGATGGCGGACGATGATGGGGTTGAGAGCCGATGCGTGGCGCAATCGCCTTGGGGAACGTAGCTACTTACGAGTTCTACATGATTGGGTCGAGAGCTGAAATCATTTAAAATTGACATCGCACTTTCTTACAACACTTCCGCCTACCCCACGTTACGTTCGTGTCATGCATATGCACCGAGCCCTTTTCCACCTGCATACGGGTTTGTTTTCCGCTGCTCACTTGGCGGAAGAGAGCTTTGCCGCCGTTTCTCCGCCCCGCGCTCACTTGCCGAAGTGGAAGCTCCACGCTTTCCGAGGAACCTGGAGCTTAGCTTAGCTCACAACGACCATGGCTTCATCGTGCGGCAATAGCCAGGGCATTTTGTCCCTTGCTCGCCTCTACCTTACTCTCTGTCTCCCGTTTCGTTGATACCCTCACATCTGTCTTTTAGCGTTTTCTCACAGAAGAGTATTAGTGACAATGGCATTCGTACAAAAGGGTCTCAAAAACATCCTCCAAAAGAATCCCCACGACGTCGTCTTCCTATCCGCACTCCGCACACCAGTCACACGAGCGAAGAAGGGCGGATTGCGGGATGCTTACGATCATGAACTCTTAGGCGCCGTATGTCAATAGTCACCCAGACATAGATGCACGTCCAAGTACTAAATCCATCACCCCAGGTCCTCGCTGCCACGCTCAAAAAGTTCCCCAACCTCGATCCCGCAAAAATAGACGACGTATGCATCGGCACCGTCCTGGCTGAGCTTGGTGGCTCAAAAGCCGGTCGCATGGCCGCCAACCACATCGGCATACCCACCACCACGTCCTTCAGCACCGTCAACCGTGCTTGCGCATCTGGTCTCAGTGCCATAACCTCGATTGCAAATTCCATCGCCGTGGGCCAAATAGATGTCGGCATAGCTGGCGGCATGGAAAGCATGACACGGAATTACGGATCACGAGCTATTCCCACGGAGCTCTGGCCCGAAATGAAGGACAGTCCGGTAAAAGAAGCCCGAGATTGTATAATGAGCATGGGCATAACATCGGAGAATGTGGCCTCGCGATATGGAGTAAGTAGAGCAGACCAAGACGCATTTGCAGCGCAATCACAGCAGCGCGCCGCAAAAGCGCAAGCTAGCGGGAACTTCGACGACGAGATTGTACCGGTGACTACGCGCTGGATTGAGCCTGAAGTCCCCGAGACACAGAAGAGCGTCACGGTGACAAAGGACGATGGCATCAGACCGACCACGACGATTGAGAAACTAGCAGCCATGAAACCAGCCTTTAGCAAAGACGGTACAAGTACAGCCGGAAACTCGTCGCAGGTTTCCGACGGCGCGTCCGCGGCTCTCATGATGCGTCGTTCCACTGCTACCATGCTCGGTCTTGAATCCGCCATTGTGGGCAAGTGGGCGGGTACGCAGGTTGTGGGGTGCTCGCCGGATGAGATGGGCGTTGGTCCCGCTGTGGCCATACCGAAGCTGCTCGACTACACTGGTCTTACGACGGAGGATGTCAATGTTTGGGAGATCAACGAAGCGTTTGCTAGTCAGGCTTTGTACTGCGTGAGGAAATTGGGATTGGAGAATAAGATGGATAAGATTAATCCGAATGGAGGCGCGATTGCTTTGGGTCATCCGCTTGGGGCGACGAGTGGGAGGATGTTGGCGACGCTGTTGAGTGAGATGGGGAGGAGTGGGGAGCAGGTTGGTGTGCTGAGTAAGTGTATAGGGACGGGTATGGGGATGGCTAGTTTGATTGTGCGGGAATAAGGGGAATGGATGTCTATTCAATTCATGAATTATTTCTCTTTCGTGAAGAAAAGATCAGGCTTATTGATTAATTTCGCCATGGGTTGTATGTAGGTCTGCTTCGAAGCTGGTACACTGGGTATCGAATTAAAAAAAAATGCAAACGTCGTCGTATCGTACACTGATGGGTTCCGTCTTGCGGCTCCTGGTAAGCCTTCATGCCTTTGATTTTTTGCTCTTCTTCTTCGATCGTTCTGCCAAGATCTCGTCGAGGAAACTCTTTGGTTTGGTTCGCGCTTTCTTGGGAGCTGGTTGCGTGACGTCTGCTTCCGCTTCTTCGTCATCGTCTTCTCGCTTGGCAGGTTTCGCGTCTGCCTGAACTTCCATGACTACTTTTTCTTTCGACGCCCCCTCTTCTTCCTTCACCGCGCCGCCTTCTAACCTCTTTGCCCTCGTCTCTTCATCCTCGTCATCGCTGTCGACTTTCTTGGCTTGTTGGTTCTCTTTCTTTGCCTGCCTTTTGGACTTGAATGTCGCGGCTCTCCCCTCGTCGTCATCGTCCGACTCTTCCTTCTTCGCAGCCTGCTTCCTGTACTGCTGTGCTTTGGCTGCTGCAGTGGGTCTCGCAGCTTCCTGCTTTGCAGAAATATGGGCTTTTGCTTTCTTCTTCCCGATCAGCTGCTGTAGAAGCTTATCGTCCGAGGTAACTATCCTGCGGGTAAAGCTGCCATCTTCAATGTCCTTGGGGAGTATGCCGCCAAGACCGATTCTGTGGGATGGAGTTAGGATCGCGAATAGATTCATGGAACATGAAAACGGTTGCGTCGGATTTACCTGTCGTGAGCATAGTTTTGTTTCAGATCTTGGTCATCGTCTTCATCCCGTGACTGGGTAGCATCATTTGTGGTGTCCCAGTCAGGGCGCGATCCGTACAGCGACGCCAAGAGCTTCTGTCCTTTTGCTTCGAGCAGACTTATGCGGTTCGCGATGACATCGCCGTCGTTTGTTCTCTTAGACATGTCTTTTGCGACTATGTGGGGGCTCGATATAGATCAAGCTGGGGCCTGACATTGGAAACATTTGAAGTTCCCGGCCGCGATATTTTTGAGGACCCGGTTCATTCTCGGCGCGCTAGCAGACGTCCGCAACAGCCCTGTGAAGCAAGCAACACCAGCTGCTAGTACTCCAGCTTTAACCCCCCCTCTCAACCCACCTCTCGATATACCCCGACGTGTGTCTGCCGCTCAGACATCATGTACAACTTTGCCCGCGCCCGGCCGCTGGCTCGCGCTGTTCGCGCTGCTGCTGTACGCATACACACGGGCCTAGCCCACCTGCAAAGCTGCGAAAGCCTCTTACGCAGCGTGCACCACAAATGAGGGCCATGGGCTAACAAGGTGCCAGGAGACACCACTGATGCGCTCCCAGCAAAGGAGAGGGCTCGCCATCCACGAATACAGGTCCGCTGCCCTGCTCGAGTCGGTACGCAGATAGTCCACCTCCACCGCATATTCCCCAATTTCGCAGCACAGGTCAGATGTCTAACTAGGATCTCAGTATGGCATCGGCGTGCCCAAGGGTGGTGTCGCTACCAGCGGCGCCGAGGCAGAGAAGATTGCCAAGGACATTGGTATGCGACAACAAGAGTAGAATGCATCTGTTCTGGACTAATGCGCGCAGGCGGAGAGGACGCCGTGATCAAGGCCCAGGTTCTTGCTGGAGGTCGTGGAAAGGGCACCTTTGACAATGGCTTCAAGGGCGGTGTCAGAGTCGTCTACTCGTATGCTACTACACGACCACACTCCATGCACCGCGGCCACCCTCTAACATAGCATGCAGTCCCCGCGAAGCCTCCATCCTCGCCGACCAGATGATCGGCCACAAGCTCATCACCAAGCAAACGGGAGCCGCCGGCCGGCTCTGCAACTCCGTCTTCATTGTCGACCGCAAGTTTGCCCGCCGCGAGTTCTATCTCGCCATCCTCATGGACCGCGCGTCACAAGGCCCTGTCATTGTCGCTTCGTCGCAAGGAGGCATGGACATTGAGACAGTCGCAAAGGAGCACCCAGAGGCTATCATCACCACCCCGATCGACATCCACAAGGGCGTCACCGACGACATTGCCCGCAACATCGCAACCGAGCTCGGCTTCTCCGAGCAGTGCATCGAGGACGCCAAGGACACTATCCAGAAGCTGTACAAGGTCTTCATGGAGAAGGACGCCACCCAGATTGAGATCAACCCCCTCTCTGAGACCACCGACCACCAGGTCCTCGCCATGGACGCCAAGCTCAACTTTGACGACAACGCCGATTTCCGCCAGAAGGAGGTTTTCGACTGGCGCGACATCACCCAGGAAGACCCCGAGGAAGTCAAGGCCGCTAAAGTCGGTCTCAACTTCATCAAGCTCGATGGTGACATTGGCTGCCTCGTCAACGGAGCCGGTCTCGCCATGGCCACCATGGACATTATCAAGCTCAACGGCGGCGCGCCAGCCAACTTCCTCGACGTTGGTGGTGGTGCTACACCCGAGGCTATCAGGCAGGCGTTTGACCTGATTACCAGCGACCCCAAGGTTACCGCCATCTTTGTCAACATCTTTGGTGGTATCGTCCGTTGCGATGCTATTGCTAAGGGTCTGATTCAGGTTGTCAATGAGATGAACCTCAAGACTCCGGTTATCGCTAGGTTACAGGGTACTAACATGGAGGCTGCTCACAAGCTTGTAAGTTCTTTTTTTTTCCACAACTCGATTTCACCGGAGAAGAGGATGTTATGCTAACGTATTTTCTCCTTCTTTCTAGCTCAACGACTCTGGTCTTAAGATCTTCTCCATCGATGACCTACAGGCCGCCGCCGAGAAGTCGGTGCAGTTCTCCAAGGTTGTCAAGATGGCGAGGGACATTGATGTTGGTGTTGAGTTTACACTTGGTATTTGAGCACTTTCAGGCTAGAGTTTCCCCTTTTTGCGGGCTCGGCTGACTGGGTGCGAGTATGACAGGTTTGTAGATATAGCGGCCAGTGAGCCGATGTTCTGAATCCTTGTTTGGTCGATGATGATGGCTTTTGTTATGTGTTGTGTTTATGTTGTGCCGCGCGACCTGCGAGTGCTTTGCTCGTGCTTACATGCTGGTTGATGTTCTCTTCCCTGTTCGTGTATCGCGGCATCTTCTGGAGCAAGTATGCTCATGACGTGCAGTGCTTAGTCTGAGCGACTTGGTCTCATAGTGATAGGCACAGACTGATTCTTGAGCGGCACATTCGCGACTTGCGGAGTCGTTCTGCAACTTGACTGATGGTTTTCGGCTCGCTCGTTTCGCTCACGTCTAACAGCGCACTTGCATAAGTTGCCGTGAGGCTCGCGCCGCGTGAATGGGAACATGAGTACCACAATAAGTGGTGAGGATACAGGATCCGTTCTCATCAAGAAGCCTGCAAACAACCGAGCGGATGACTGGATGAGGGTACGATCTCCCAAAAGATTTGCGGACAGATCCCTACATTGTTGACAAAGTGGCACAGTTCCATATCCACGTGCCCGGCGGTTACATTCCTTGGCTGAAATGAGCCTCACTATCAAAGCTCGTCATGAAAAGTTGAGGTTAGACCTCATCACTAGACTAATGTTCTTTGTCTCAATTGCGGCCTGGTCTAACTACAATCGCATTGATCAAGGAAAATACCCGCGCTCTCGGTCTGTTGTCGGTGAGAAACACCAGCTTCCTCACGAACTACGAGCGTTTCGCCCGCGCAAGGTTTGAGAATAAGGTACGGACCGACCGCCGTTCCCGTTCTATATCGCAACGTTACAGTGATGCCATTAGCACCATTGTTGAGGACTATTGGCAAGAGATGCTGGAGTAATAATCCACACGCACCAATGTCTCAACTTTCACGCACGCTTACAATCACGTGTCGAGGTATTTGGTCCAGGTCGCGCAGAACATACAGTGTACAGGAACTCACGTTTGATAGGCGAAACAATCAATCGGGACGAATTGTTCAAGTACTCAGGTGGACATTTCCTTGCCAATGAAAACAAAGCTCGAAGGCGAAGATATATCAATTTCGACCTAGACCGACTTTGCGCTATAGCTGCAGCTCTTGGTGGGCAGCATTCACCGGTCTGTGAGATTGAGAAGATGGAAGGCGGGTTCAGCAAAGCACTCTTGTTGCGAAGAGAGGATGGTACCGAAATTGTCGCGAAGATGCCCTTCGCTATCGCTGGACCACCGAAATATACAACAGCATCGGAAGTGGCCGTTCTACAATACTGTAAGACTCTATGATTCCCAACAAATGTCTTGTACACAGCTAAGTTCATCGCCGGCGACAGTACACACACATACCAAAGTCCCAGTACCCAAAGTTCTAGCTTGGGACACCGATCCATCAAATCCAGTGGGTGTTGAGTACATCATCATGGAAAAGGCTCCTGGTGTTCAGTTGTACAAAGTATGGGGTGACATGAATGATTGGCAGCAACTCCGCGTCGTAACCCAATTCACTGAATTTGAGGGCCAAATGGCGAAGATCCGTCTTCCAGCGAACGGAAGTCTCTATCTTACTAAGTCCATGGCGGAAAGCGACACATACGTCGCCCTAGATCGAGAGATGGATCCATCTGGAGATTATTGTATAGGCCCCTCTTGCGAGCGAGGATGGCATGCGCCAGACCATACTGCAACTCTATATCCTCAACTTCACCAGGGGCCGTGTATGTACGATCTCGAGCCTTCCATGCAGTAGCTAATTCTTCTTCACAGGGCCCGATCTGCCTTCCTTCGGAACAGCTCTTGTCGAACGAGAGCTCACATTTCTTCAAAAGCGCTGGTCTGTTAGTACAACTGGCGTACCCCGAGGGTCTCTCGATGAGGAGATCACAGTTCTGAAAATGGCCAAAGAGGTCATGTCTAGACTTAACGAGCGGACACTTATGGGGAAAGTTTCTGAGCCTGTTCTATGGCACACAGACCTCCACATGGGTAACATCTATGTTTCCGAACAGAACCCAGAGGAAATAGTATCACTCATCGACTGGCAATCCGTCGTAGTCTCACCATTATTCTTACAAGCACGCTTCCCAGAGTTTCTCACAGTCGGTGAGGACTACGTCCTCGGTACTATGGAGCTTCCAAAGTTACCTCCTAATTTTGACGAGATGGATGCAGAAGATAAGAAATTTGCTGAACACAACTTGAAAGAAGCTAAATTAGCAAAGATATACGAGATTAGCAGCAAGTCCAAGAACATACGGGGCTGGAAAGCTTTACAGGTACCGCTGTTCATTCGAGAGCTCTTTATACGCTGTGCAGAAGCCTCGGAAGAGGGTGTGGTACCACTTCGGGCATGTCTCATTGAGTATGCGGCAAATTGGGAGGAGATTGGCTTCGAAGGCGAATGTCCCATCAGCTTCAGCGAAGAGGAGTTGAAGAGACACGAACAGCAGTTTGAAGAGTACAGTAAATATCACGAGATACTCAAGTGGGCTAGGGGAATTCTGGGTACTGATGTTGAAGGTTGGCTAATGCCAATGCTGGACATTGAAGAGGCACGAAAGAAAAGCGACGAGCTTTTGGAGGAGTTTGTGCGCAGGTGTGATCAGTATAACATGACACCAGAGCGGATGAGGGAGATCTGGCCGTATTCGGAACGTTCGTAATGATACTAGGGTGGCGGGAAGCGTTGCGCATCGCTGTTAACGACCTCCTGACTTATTCGACCTTGGCCATTACAAATTGATTCCGCCAGGCAACATTTGACGGCACGTTTGCTATCACTGCGGTTCGTGTAATTAACGCGCTCTGGCCCATCTGTATATGTAACATGTGTTTGTAAAAGAGAAGGATTATTTCTTGCTTATAGCTAATACCCAGCTCACTCCAGTTGTACAGACTCAGTTTTTCTCCATTGATCTTCCAACCTCTGACTGCTCGTACGGGTGTATCTATTGCAGGTACACCACTAGGCTAATTGCATGCAAAGACGGCCATACTGTCGGTTGATGGCAGTCCGAAAACACACAATCATGGTCAGTCAGCTATAGTCTTATCGCATCAAGTGCATCTAACGTGGTTAGGTCAACTTCTTCGTAATGTGCGTAGACTTGCACGTAATATATAGTTACTATAAATATTTGCAAGAGAAAGAAAAGATTATGTACAATGAAAACAGCTCCGTGGCAACATTTCGCTCCAATATATACACCCCTGAATGTATTCAGTCAGCCCACTATGGGAAAATCCTCTGAGTTACCTTGGCATCACTCTCGTGGATGTTCAAGCTCTGAATTTGGCTGACGCAGATCTCGCGCTAAGCGCAGAAAGCTTACCGTTGCCTGCACCGTTGGGGATCCTGCTGGTGATAGCAGAAGCAGCGACGGCCTTTGCAATGCCTAGGTTCTTGAACTCGCTGAAAAACGAGGTGTCCTTCTTGCTTGTCAAAGAGCTGGCGGTAGTTGTGGTGCCTTGGAAGAGATTGACTTCGCAAGACCTGCCGAGAGCAGTGCTGCACTGCTTGTTCGTGTTGGCGTCGGGGGAACCAAAAAGCTTGCCAGCGTAGTCGGCTACAACATTCTGAACGTTGTTGAAAACGTTACCCTCGAAGATTCCACGAGCGCCGGCATCACCTCCCTCGAGCAGGTGACCCTTGACGTCGAACCAGACGTTGTTCACAGCGTGAAGGAGGGTCTTGCCGCTAAGAGCAGGGCCGCGGCCAGCAGTCTTGGTGATGTAGTTGTTCTTCATGGTAATGGAGTCGCCAGTGCCAACCATCTCGAAAACCCAGTAGTGGTAGCCGTCGCAACCAGTGGAGTAGTCAGAGGCACCGTTGATGAAGTTGCTGGACAGGGTGATGCGAGTGCTGGGTGTAAAACCGAAGACATAGTGTTGTCGGCCGGGGCGAGCAGTCTGGCGTAATGTGAGCAGATATACGTTGTGATATGAACAGAGACTTACAGTAACATGATCGATCCAGATGAGATCAGCTCCGGCAAAGGAGAGAGCATCTCCACCCCAGACGTACTTGTGGTTCAAGTCACTGACTTGGATGTTCTGGACAATGACGTTCTTGCCGGCAAAGGAGAGTCCCTTTCCCTTGATAATGCCCTTGTTTCCAATACCCAAAATGGTCTTGTTGGAACCAACTTTGATGGGAGTTTTCGCAGCTTTGTAGTAGGTGACAGTCTCCTTCACTTGTCCCGCATCGCAAGTGTCCAACAGAATACGTTGGCACTTTGCTCCAGTTCCCCAGGACGCGCCTGTTTCGATTAGTATGTTGGATATGCGTTACAAGCGTTCCGGACGTACAAGCAGTTCCAGTGACTGTGCCCTCGGATGTGGTGTAATCAAAGGTCTTGTCAAGGACGATGACACGAGCGGTGGTGTCAGTCAACAGCGTTGTCAGCTCCTTGATGTCCTTTGGGTACTGCGGCGTGGCATTTCCACCACCCGTGGCTCCAGTTGCGAAACCTTCAGCTTTGCCAACAACGCCAACTGCGCTTGCCATATGCGCCAGGCTGGCAAGAGCAGCAATCGCCAAGAACTTCATGGCGAATTTAAAACTAGATCGAAAGCGGTAAATGTAGAAGAAGAATAGAGGTAAGGAGTGTAAGAGTGGGGTGTATGATGTGTCTCGCACTCTGAGCCATGCACTATATGTCAAAGCTACGATTAGTGATCGCAATATCAACGTGCCTACACAGCCATCGATCAAAGCAGAAGAGGATGTCTTTCCGGCCCATTCAGGCATTCCCAGGCGTGTTTCGAAACCGTGGCGCCCCCGTGAATGAACCTACCTGCTCGAATCGCAAAAGTGGGAACGTTTAGCGCGAACATCATAGTGTTCTTTGCTGCAAGTGCTAAAGATGGCCCGAGCGGAATCGATCTTCCGTGGGTGCGTAATACGGCATTTCCCACGTTCAATCTATATCCGTGCGCTAATCCCATGTAGGTTACAGATGATCTACAAAATACCTCTTTTAAGCGACGTCAAACCGGTGCGTTCTATAAAGAGACGACATCTCCGAAAGGCTCTCCCTTTTTTCAATCTACGAGCCCCGCTTCCATCGGTCAAAAGTCGATTTACACCGGATCTAGGTGACTGGCTTCATCCCCTAATCCATTCGACGTTTCCAGGCCGTTGGTCCGGGTATCCACGATATATCGTATCGCAGACACATCTCGATATTCCAAGTTCTGAGCTCCTTGACGTGTCAATATCCCTTACGCACTGTGCACTCTACATCATGTGCGCAGATGTGAAGGTCATCCTTGCACGACCCAGAGTTGGTTCTTGGGAATGAATGAGTGCCATGGACAGGTGGGTTGTACTGACACGATTGGTGTATTGATGTAACAACCAGAGACCTATATCAAGTACTAACATTTAGAGACTCGAAGGAGATTTACGAAGTTGAACACAGTAAGCTATTGGAGGTTGTTGCGTACTGCTGTATACTAATGAGTTCTGCGCTCTTGTACAAGCGTGTGGGTAGTTGTAGCAGAGCATTAACGCACTCTATAGTCAGTAGCTGATTATTGCTCGTGGAAGAGCACTTGCTTATGGTTTAGCATTACCTACTCGTAGAAGAGCAGTCACGTGATTGCAGCCTAGCCGCCGTGCCACAATCCTTTGACTGTGTCGCATGTTCCTTTAAAGTGCTTACGCTGACACTTGGATTCTCGTGAGGTCAAATGTAACGACAGGCTGCTCTTGTTGCCTCCAATGACTACCTCTGCCAAACAATGGTTGAATGAGCTTCTTATTCCGTCAGACGATGATTACGCCGGCCACAGACACTGGGGCTTTACCATTTACCGTACCGGATACGGACCTGGAGCTTCTTCCGATCAGCAATGGCAGTGACTTCTTGAACTGATCCAGACTAGTGCGCACGAGGAAGCTTTCGATGCTATCGAATCTGAGGAAGAAGACCCTAAAGACGACCCTGAATTTCAGAAGTTGTGGTCGCTTTTCCATCTTGATGCACGCTCAGACCCAGCTCTAGCCGGCCTCGACATGGATCAACTTCGCCAGCTATACAACAGTGGCGAGGGTGGCCAACCAATGAAAGCGAACTTCAAATCGCACCGGATATTCCTCTTCGACGATTACGAGGTTTTATCAGGCGTCGATTCGATCGTCAAATGTGTGGATGCCGGCTATCGTGCTGAGGACTATCTTCCGCGGCACACGAGAGGTCAACTTTACGCTGGCTGGATGCGGATGAACGCTAGAAGCATAGCAAACTTCTGGATTGAATTAGGTCTTCACTATATGTGTGACACCGCTCCTCCGGTGATTGGAGGAATTCAATTGGTAAACTGGGGACATGATGTTTCTTGCTGCTAATAGCAGGGGATCATGGATTGAACATATAACGGCTATAGCAGGATAGCTATCTATCGAGTTGCAGATACTAGCGGCGCTTGCAGGAGCACGGCGACAAAGTCAGTCCATATTAGTCCACCAGTATACAATGCCACAGGCAACACAACCCATCTGCTTCCTCATTTAAGGTTCCGAAACGACAGGTATGTGTCACCAAAAGATGCATCCTCCCCAACCAGTATTCGGTACGCAACTCTAGCATAATATTTCGCCTGCTTCGACTTCTCTGACAGCCCTAATTGTTCCAACGCCGAGTGTGCGAGTAAGAAGACCCCCACCAGATGGTCCACTGTGTGACCCCATTTCAAGACGACTAGAGCTTCTGAGGTACGGTCGAGCCCAGTCACGACGAAACTCAGAGTCTGTAGAGTCTTTCTAGCCGATCCCAATCCCTTCGTAAGATCAAGCTTTCCCATGTAGATCCGTGTCAATAGCAGCTGTGGGTCCCATAGCAAGAGTCGAGGAACTTCTTCCGCTGGGCGAGCGTAGGTCTCGTTCAGCGCCTTGAGTAAGCGCTCAAACTTCGTTGGCATATCCTGAGGTATCATTCCAGACTTGCAGAGATGGTCCAATTGAGCCAAAAGATTCTCCCTCTTCGTGACTTCCGAAGGCTTAGTGGCTTTGATGTCTTCGCAGAGCGCGCACGTGCACACGAACCCCCAGTTCTTGAACTTTCGCTCGGTCTCTGGAGTATAGATACCCTCTGGTGCTTCATACGGGAATATCAGTTCTGTGCCAACATCCAGGTCCTTGGTCGCGCGCACTATCATCATATCCCCGATGAAAGAGCGACGGACATTGCCGAGACAACTGTGGTTGATGTACGAGGCCTTGATCCAGATGCCACATGAATGGAAGTTGGCCTTTTCTTTCGAGAAGTTGTTGGAAGTCACCTCTGTGTAGCTCTTCAGTGTCGTGACCGGGCAGCCGAACACGTTGAGAGACATTGTTCGTTCGACAAGAAATCTGGAAAACTTTAGCGTCATTCTACCGAACTTGCTAGTTCATCGCATGGAAGGTACACTTACGTGTCGATTACAGGTTGTCCATCAACGGATTGAACATCAACCGCTTTGTAATCGCCATGATGCAGATTAGTGAAATCGGAAGCCATTGATGGGTTCTTGTAGAGCTTTTGCGTTATTGACTGGATGAGATCCGCTTGGCCTCCCATGAAAGCTCTATTCGTCTCTACATTCACCAAGAGAGTGATATTTGCATTACCTTTCTCCCCATCATCAACATGAGCATGACTGAAAGCTTTCTCACACAGCACTAGATCCCCGGCTTTCATGGGCTTGGTTGTAAATAAGCCACGACCTTTCCCAGTCACTTTCCGAACCTCCACTGGTCCGATGTACGTAGCGTGATCTAGATGGGGTGGGCTGTACCTCTTTGCTTCGGCGTGGAGGAGCTTGAAGTCGAATTGCCCGGTACTACCTTCGTCGCATCGACGTCTGGCGCGCGTCAGGGCAGTAATCGCTTCATGATTGGACGGAAAGAGTTTGCATAGCTGTTCAAGCACTTCGCAACAGTCTCCATACTGTCTGAGATAATATAGAGCCTCCGCTGCACGAAACAATGCCTTCTCCGAGGCTTCTTCACCAAACTCAGGGAAGCCTGTGTCGGACAATGCAGCGTCGTATTGTTTGGTTTTGAGATATGCCAGCGCTCTATTTCGCTTGATTACGTTCATCTCGCTCGGCGCAGATGAGTACACTAAGGCATTTGAGTACCTGGCAAAGTTGTTAGTGTAGCTACTGGCTTATCATAGGTTTCACTTACTTCTCGATCGCCTGCCAGTACTCTCCCTTTCCCACATGGGCATTGCCTTCAAGCTTCAATGTATTTGCGCATTTTCCGATTTCTAGTAACCGCGGCCGCCACGACTGTGGAATCCTGGTATCGTCGCTGTTCAAGAACACGATATCCGAAAGATGATCCACTCGCAGACTGTAGTCTCCAGATGCTGTGACTTTGAAGAAAGGTTCCTTTACTATGAGGACGATGCCTTTGTCGACAACATTGGTAGCTGGGCGGCTGACTTCGTCTTCCTGTTGGTAAAGTTGCAGTATCACAACATCTCCGTATTCATCTTCCACCAGAACGAGGATTCCTGTCATACGATTTGGCGGAGTGACTACTCGCAGAAGAAGGAATCTGCCACGGTGATGTGTCTCAAGCCTCAGATCTTCGATCTTGATAGGTTTGAGACCTTTGAGTGCAGTAGTGCAAGGCGGATATGCCGGTGGAACGAACGATGAGTGTATGTTTTGTGTGTCCTTCTTTCCAGTCCTTTGTGCGGTACTCATTGACACCATCATGAACTCGAGCAACATTACGTGTCTGTCTTTGCGATCGTGCAGACGCTGACCATGTCTCTTTTTAGCATCTTGCAGAACACGCCTATGCTGTTGAATGTACTGCATGTAGTTGTCGACATCTTTGCATACATCCATGGCTGTGAGGTGGCGCAAAGTGAGTGCGGGGGCAGGATGATGATGTTAACGTTGTTGCGGAGAACTTGACGACTAGTCGTTGTTTAGTGAAAACGGGATTTCTGATATTCTTGATGGCTTTCCTTCGGGAGGTTCAGTTACGTTCGATCGGGGTACTGGTTGCGACTGTCGTTAATGGCTCTTCTGCTTCGCGTCATCACAGTATCAGCGGATGAATCGAAAGACCATCAGGGGATGATGACCAAGTTTTATCATCAATGGCTTTCACCCTGCATCACATTATCGTTTGTATGTACGCGGGGGGTTTCATTGGCTGTGAGCGTAACACGTAAGTCTGTACCACGCCACGCATGCACATAGACAAACGAGACTGGATGCGACACCAAAAAGGTATTCAGAGCTGCATGTTCGGCCCGGGATACTGAACGCATAATCACCCGGGTACTTGATTGGGCTGTTTTACTTGTAAACAAGCTGTCTCTTCAACATCTCTTAATCTGAAAAGAAGTTGCCACTACTAGGCCGTCTGCACGTTCTTCGTATGTCTCAATCATAGGCGCAGGCCGCTGTGCCGGCTCCAGTCATGGCTTTGGTTTAGCGTCGCGAATCCGTGCGCTTTTTCGAGTATAGAAAAAACACCAAATTTCTTATTGGCCAGACGTGAGATGCGTGCGTTTGTACATGGCGCGCCTGCGCGTGAATGGGCGGGGCTGGAGGTCAGAATCAGTAGGTTGCATCGGCCATGGTTTCAAGTAGCATCTCAAGAACCTGCAAACTACTTGTTACGCCTTAGCGATGACTAAACTGCGGAAGTCACTCTACACCTTCACGCATTCCGAGTCACTAACTAAACAAGTAGTCCTGGGAGGGAAGATCCATAATCTGCCACAACCCTTTCACCTTCCGAAGTACTTGTAAATTGACACCCTGATTATCGAAGCGCTCAGTCGCTTCGGAACTATCAACGTTATCAGTGACTTTCTCCTCTGGCAAGGATTCAGCCGCTCTACTCTTTCCTTTTGCTTTTACTCCGCTCGGATGGTAGGAGGGCGACGTAGCCCGCGATGTGCCTGAGAGTGGTTTCTTCGCCTCAAGGTGTATCTGAGAATATTGAAGATTACTCGGGCAATAAGGTCCTGCATTGCTGGGACTTGCTTCACACGATAACAATCAACGTATCGTGTTAATTGTACTCCGCGATGATCGATGCCCTTCCAAAGAGCTGAGTCATCTGGAACATGACCGAATTTTCGAAAATCTTCTAAAGCTTGTTTGGATACGCCTGGCTGTGCGAACAATTGGAAGATTATCCCATTCCGTGCATTGTATTGGTCCCAGGTTTCGTTCTTTTGACGGTCTATGAACATTTTCCAGCATCTTAGCGATTCCCAGGCATCAGCCCATGTCAATTGAATGAGCGTAAAGTCGACTTCGTGATTCACAGACCACAGATATGCATCCAAGATTAGCCCATCCGGAGTAACGCTGCCAGGCACGACTCCTTGAAGCCTGACGTTGAGAAAGTCGCGCACTTGGCAGTGCTCGATCCGGGGAGCCTCCAAGAAAGAGCCCTGGAACAAGAGCGAGCTTGATGCATGTCCAGCGTAAGCATCACCTGAATAGACTTCATTCGGTGGTGGATATGCCTCGGGCGCAAGCAGAGATAAGTCGCCATCGTTCAACGCTAATGCCAATATAGCAAGGCATAGGGAATGGAAATTGTTGCCAACAGCTTTTGTGTCGAGTCGGAAATCATAGTCGCACATGTTCGCTATTATAGCGAGTCTGTCGGACTGAAAATAACATTTGCGACACTTCAATAGAGTCAGGGCTCCCGCAGCATTGATCGTAGGTCGCTCGCCGTACTGGCCCTCGCTATAGGTCATCATGACCTGTTGAGGTGTATTTGCTTTCACCGTTCTCGGGTGAAGAGCTTCCGCTGCTTGGAGCACCGATTGAGCGCCTGGCCATGCTTCCACTGGCGCGTACTCAGAGCGCACAAGCATTGATCCTACAGCAGAGAAGTCTCGTAGGAGGACATCGCGCATGACTTTGAGGATGCGCCAGAATCCCATCAGAGAAATGCGTGCAAGCGTGGAATCAAGTCCACGCGCATGGTCATCGAGCGAATGGTATGGACGATCTTCCACCTCACATTCATACCCGTGTCGGAACTTCGATGGAAACATTAGGCCAGGGCTGTGTCGAAATGCTAGTACTAGCTTCATTCCTGCACAAATAGCCTCTTGGATGACCCACGCCCGAGTGTACCATCTGTCTTGGCAGGTTTCGTGGGGGAGACGGATGATCTGTTCGCAGTATTGGAGGCTCACGATTCCTTTTGTCATTTCTCGATCAGCTTGTAATACAGTCTGTATTGCGTTGAGCTGTTCCTGTGACGTAATCTCGACATCGAGTAAACCTCCTCATCGTCGCTGTCAAATCCATCGATTTTGACGTCTGAGTAATCATAGACCAAGAAGCAGATGTCCCTCGTCGCCCATTGCCGAGCCCTCGCGCGCTCGAATTTGTACTGAGAGAGCCCTGCAATCTGCGCAAACATGTTTGACCCCAGGGTTGTTATAGGATCTTGTAGATCGTTCTTCATCTTTACTGCTTCCTTCTGATGACTTGGGCCGCCGACATCGATCATGCAATCGCTGACGTCGCCTGTATCCGTAATTGGCTCGTCTAGCTTGACCGGATCATCGTAGAGTTCTTCATCATCCTGGATGGTATCGTGAGAGCCATCATCCTTCATTTCGCAGCTCATATTCGATAGGTTATCGATGTCGATCTCGCGTCAGTCACGTCTGGGAAGGCTGTGTTCTGCGAGGCGTCGAATGTGGACAGTTTGCCGAGTTTAAATATTTCGACAATCATGCAGGCAGCAAGCGCAAGGCTGAAGACGCCCCATTGATCAGTCGTCAGCTTCCATGGGGGCCAAAACACCCTTGGAAGGCCCGCAACTGTCGATAAGAAACACAAGCGCTGATGCTTGTCTGCAGAAAAGTCTGATCGACATTTTGAGCTTTAGTCCAATGATTATCGGTGGCCATGGCAGGGAAGACGGCCTATTTAAGAGGAAGCCGTTGAGACGTTTGCCATATCAGCCATCGAGGAGGTGTTGATATGGTAGATTGGCAACAACGATCTGGTGTTTTCCGATTCGAACACCTGGCAATGGCGGTGTGTGAGGATGTCTTGGTTCCAGAGTTCCGATTCTTGAAAGTATCCCCCACGTGTATGCCAATGGTATCTCGTCTTTATCCGGGGAGTTTTAATTGGTCGAGACTGCAACACGTAAGCTGGTACCATGTGGCACGGTAACGATTGAGACTGAGCTTGACACCAGTTGAAGACGACGGTCTGCTGCGCGAAGCGTATGCTCGGTCCGTAACTGCCATCTGCAAATGGATCCGACGCTGTTCGGGTGTTTAGTTTTCATCGGACCAGTCTACAAACAAGCTGTCATCTAGGTCTTCCAATAGCTGTCGCCTCAAAAGCTGCTCATCTTGAGAGAGGACTTCTCCGCTAAGGCCAGCGACAGGTTGATTGGATTCCTCATTCACAGGCGCAGGCTGTACCAGCCCTATTCGTGGCAGCGTGTCTTCTCGTGGTAAAGGCTCCGGACTCTCCTCTTCGTGTGGAGGAAACGTCCGACTCACACCATACAACGTGATGTGTCTTCTCCACTGCTTCTTTCCGCCGATGTATATGCCAGGTATCCTCATCTTCAGATAGCCGTTCCCCAAAAACGATATGCCAAGTCGCACCTCCGCGTTTCCGGACCCTGAGTAATTTTTGCGGACACCTGTTAGAGGTACTAAGTCCAAGGACGCCAGTTTAGGGACGTCGAGAGGAATGTGCCAATCGTTCTCAAGGCCGGTGAGAGAGAGCGACGCGGTAACATCCGTTGAAGAGAGCGCAGTGTTGTTGGTGTGATCCCCGATGACCAAAGTACCTGTTTTCCATTGACGAAAGTGATAATGTATCTCTCCTCGGTGTTCGGCTTCGCGAAGATCCAACAAGTTGGGAGAATAAAGGTCCCATTGGCCCTGCACTTCACCAGCTTGGATTTCCCCTTCGCGCGCGCGGATTTGATGGCTACATGTCTATGCGCCCTCTCAACGCGTCTCTCATACTCCTCTTCTACCTTCATTGCTTTCTCGTAACCATCGTCGACCTCAAAGTCGTCAAGGTCCGATGCGCTAGAGTCCGATTCGTCAGAATCCTGATGGCTGGCATCAGTTTCAGCGACCGAGTTGAACAAGTTTCTTATGCCTATTCTGGCCTCATAGGGTAGTTCTCTACGTGTGACGAACTTCTCATTTTCGAGCGCGACCCTCTTGGCGGTGGCCGCGTTGCGACTGGCTACCTCATCATCGGTCGCCTTGCGTTTGGCAACTAGTCACGTCAACTTGATACTTGCCGGGAATCCAGATGGAAGACGCACCTTTCTTGGGCGGCATCGCGACGCACGAGTGCCGAAACGCGTGTAAAGAGCGGTGGTCGCGTCCATACCTAATCGCGCTTGTCGATCAACGGTGATTACGTCATCAAGTTGAAACTCGCATATCATGGCCGCTGTAGCTGAGGCACGCCCAGAAACGGCATGCTTCAAGAAACGAAAGCTTGCGAAATTTACAGCAGAGTATCGTTGGGTATATGGTAAGTTTATAGCTAATGTGAGCTAACACCAAAACTTTGCTATCGGGCTGGGTGTCGTCATCGGCTCTGTTTGTGCTCGGAATTTGCGACATTCCGCTAACCGTGGGGTCCATGAAAAGCCAAGGTCTTGACCCCAAGCTCGGCTCCGAGATCCACTTCACTCCACTTCACTCCGTCCGGCTAGAAACCCCCGATGAATAGATTAGAAGATACTAGGTTCTGGTTCTGATTGATTGGCCAAGGCGACCGACGAACAGTTGATTAGTGATTTCTTACGTTGAATTCGTACGAGTCAAATCTTGGAACGTCTCTAGATGTTAGATGTGAAGCTGCTGTATAGGCATGGGCAAAGGTAGAGGGATTGGAAGGTCGGACCTTCTTCGGTCAACAGCACAAGAACGCTATGTCAAATAGCTCTGTCATCCGTTTCAAAGGATTGAATCACTATGTAGCACATTCTCTCTTGTCTCAACGTCTCATATCACCAGTTTCTTGAACTTCTCATCATGTCATCCCAGAAGCACACCAAGGTTCTCATAGCGGGTGGGAGTGTTGCTGGACTCACCCTGGCCAACATCCTCGAAAAGCTTGGGATAGACTATCTGGTTTTGGAAAAGTATGGAAAGATTGCTCCTGATCTAGGTGCGAGTATTGGCATACTTCCCTATGGCCTTCGTATTTTCGATCAGTTTGGTTGCTTTGAAGATGTCAAAGCTTTACTCAATGGTGTGGATGCTGGTGAGCTATTGACTCAGAGGGACGACAATGGCAAGGTTGTATTACTCTTTGAGGGGGCCAACAAACGCATAACCGAGCGGTGAGTTACGGACGCCTGCATGACCTCATTTTCTTGAAGCTGATGTGGACAGTTTTGGATATTCGCCGGTCTTCGTGGACCGTCAGATGATAATCCAGGTTCTATATGATAAGCTGCCTGACAAATCGAAGGTCCTGACCAACAAAGGAGTCACCGAGGTCAGGCAGTCTACTGGCGGGGTTGAAGTTGTCACCGCAGACGGGGAAACCTACCACGGGGATATCCTTGTTGGCGCTGATGGCATTCACAGTACAGTACGTGAGGAGATGTGGAGACTGGCAGATCAAGAAACACCCGGATATTTCCCTGTCAGCGATCGTTCGATACCAACAGAGTACTGTTGCATCTTCGGCATATCTCGACCAAGCGAGAAATTCCCTTGTTCGACACAAAATGTACAAGGTCGAAACAATTCATACCTCGTCTTGACCGGACCAGATCACCGCATCTACTGGTTCCTGTTCAAGAAGCTTCCAGTGACGGCCTCTGGCAAGATCCCGCGCTACACCAAAGATCAAGAGGACGCGCTGGTAGCAGAACACGCGTCCGATCATATCACAGATACTCTGACGTTCGGCGAACTGTATGCACTACGCAAAACATCGACCCTACAAGCTCTTCCGGAGGTGGTGTTTAGTAAATGGCATTACAATCGCATCATGACCATTGGAGATGCCGCCCATAAGGTAAGCCTAGCGGGTTTGATGGGGGATCACCAAACTGATACGTCTCGTAGTTCAACCCTATCAGCGGCCATGGCGGAAACAGCGCAATCGAAGATGCCGCAGTTCTTGCAGACCAACTCCACGCTCTTTTCAACCGCAAAGGCGAAAGCATCACCGACGCAGACTTTGTCAAGGCTTTTCAAACAACCCAAAGCCTCCGTGTTGACCGCGCGACCGCTCTTCTGAAGTTCTCTCACGCCCAACAAAGTGTACAGGCCATGGACACTGTGACGTCGAAATTCATAGCAAGATATATCGTGCCCTTGTATCATGCAGAGAAGATGATCGACGTGCTTTGTGGCACCTCACGTGGGGGTACGCATATCAAAGCGCTGCCGTTGCCAAGTCGGCCGCACAGCGATCTTTGGGATGATGAGAAGGGAGCAAACCTTGTTGATTGGCGACACGTGGGCTATGCCTTCTCTGCGACTGTTGCTGCTTTGGCGGTGTTTTCGACTCAGACGCAGTTGCTTCCCATCGCTTCGATGAGGAAGTTATTGCTGAGTTCCTAGTCGAAGGTACAGACCTAGGAAACCAACGAGACCTAATAGATAGATCAAAGGGATTGGACAGATATGTAAAAGAAAGCATTCAATAAGTTACGGACATCGTTGATGAGCCGATAATACCGCTCCGCTAGTCAGCTTCTTTCATCGCGTGCAATCATTATGTTTAATGTCACGACGCTGACACATCATCGTCAAGTCATCCTCAAGCCTATTGATCGTATCGCGCTCCAGAAAGTCATCTTGCTTCTAATGCGCCATCTGCCGCTCCTCCAATTTCACTCCGGAGTTGTAGCATAGAGCTATACACGCCTCCAGCCTCAATGATAGTCCACCGACTATCCCAGTCGCCAATGGTTTCACAGAGTTTGCTCCGCCCAAGATCATAGTAGTTGGAAAAACATGGCCTCTATACAGATCGTCATATGAACAAAACACCCGGGTTCGCCGCATTCACGAGACCGTACACCGTATAAGGCGGTGCCATCTCACCCGAGGCATACCCTGCCGCCCACACCCCCGAAGCTTGATTTGAACCACACTCATTTGCACCTAGTCTTATGAACTCGGACATATCTTTTGGACTTACGCAAGACCGACCGGGTACCCCCCCGAAAGACGCGAGCTTCGATGCAATCACAAACGAACATCCGCTGTTAGAAGCACTAATAGAAAAATTAGTAGGGACAACGTATGGGTAGGGAACAGGGCACTTGCACTTCACAGTAGGAGCTGTAGATTATGTTGCCGTCACTAGAGCCGGATTCGCCCTTTTTGAGGCACGTGGAATCGTCGGTGCAGAACTTAGGGCTGGTGTCTGTGTCACCTAGCTGTTCGCCGTTGATGATGCTTCGTTTGTCAGCTTATGTATCTCCAACTTTGGGGTGACATACGACCCAAGTATGGCTAGACAGTCTAGCGGCCGCGTTCCGCCATCACCATTTCCGCAAGTAAATCCTTGCGCGTTTGTTGGCGTCACTGCACCGATGGCTGTTTTTGAAAGAAGAACATCCCCACTCATTGGTGCATGTATGGCGCCATCGCCATTAAGCGGTCGAAATCCACCCTGATAGAACTACTTCTGTCAGTCTCTGTCTAGAATTGAGGCTCAAGTGGAAGAATGCTTTACTTGGTAAGGATTGGGCCCGTTAACCCAGCCGGTATTTGGTCCTTCATTGATGCATTCCTTGATGATGGCATCAGTGGAATCCCAGCATTGTTGCCACTGCTCATCGCTAGACGGTGTACCGCGATAGAAGTACTATAAAAAAGTATTAGATCACTTTCTTCCGCTTGCATAACTCTCACTCACCGCTTCAATGTCACCTTCAATGGCAATGGCAATCTCGCAATCGCCTGTAGTCTTACTTCCAGTCTTCCATGCCACTCCAGCTGGAAGGCCAGCCGGCATCTCGCAACTGTTTGTGCAGATAACTTCTCTCACTGTATAGAGCACTTGATTGGGCGTTTTGTTTCCATCCGACCATATCATTTCTTTGGGGACTTGAGATGCTGAATTCTTCGAACATGTCAACTGACCTGACCCTTGAGCTGGTGATGCGCTACTGGTAGGGGTTGCTGGAGCAGCCAAGATGCTGTTCAGAAATGCTTCTTGTTCAAGAAGCTGTTGGTCGGAGAACGGTGCGTATGGCTCAAGCTCAGGTTCAAACTGAAAGCATGTACAGTCCTTGTTTTCATTGTTCGCACCTTGGCATGTACTGATGACAGACGCGCTTGTTGCGCCACCGCAGTTTGCATCTGAGCAGTTTGGAACATCGTCGCCATCTGGGCATTCTTGTTCATCATCTTGGCAAGGGCAGCCAGCAGATGGTCCTGTCTGACACCACCTATTGTTTCCGGAGCATTCGGAGCATTTTGTGTCAATCGTGTCCGAGCATGGCTCTTCTGGATTAGGCGTACCAGGTGGCGGGATCGGGAAGCCTGGAGGGGGGATTGGGAAGGGGATGATCACGGGCTGATCACCACTACAACTCGACGTTAGCTTTGATCGCAGTTCACCATGTGCTGAGACTGACTCTGCGCCCGAACTGCATTTACAGTTATTGTAACCTTTACCCGTATACTCATCGACACCTTTGCAACGTCCATCGCCGTTATCGCCACCACAATCGTTACAAGCTGGCTCCTCATCTGGACAGCATGCGCAAAACTGATAAGCACCTCCACCGATGTCAGTCTTGGAGTCGCACAAGCCTGCATATCTAGTGCTTCCACCACAAGTAGAACTGTTGCATGACTGGGTGTCTGAACCGGTTTGCTCAGGGCAGACTGCAATCTGTCCTCCACCAGGTACTGCACCCCCGTTCGCGGTGCATGGGCAACCTTGGAATGAGATCTCCGTGAGCCCAGTGCCTAGACATATCCCTTCTCCTGCATCGCCGCCGCACGCTGAGCAAAGCAAGGTGATCTGAGAATCGCAGCAGCCGCAGACAGGCAGGCCTTCTTGTGTTTGGATGTGACAAACACCTGAAGCTGCGATATCGATACATGCCTCGTCAGTACATTGAAGCGGTTCTAGACCATGGTTTTGGCGACATGGTCCATTTGATGGAGGGAAGGTTATTTGCGCTCTTTTCAAAGTGGCAGCATCGGTGCTCAAGCATAGTATGATAGAAGTGACGCAACCAAGAAGACGCAGAGAGGTAGGACGCATGGTTCGTTAGAAAGCGGATATCAAATGTACTTGATGGTGTTACTGGTAGTGTTTGCATTCATGTACATAATGTCCTGCGCCTATAACACCAACGCGTTCTCAGGCGCATCTCAGTGAGCCCTAGAGCCGCCTTCGCTATTCTTAGCTACCCATATGCACCTTGCATTCGAAGGACGTCCGCATTCGTGTGCATATGCACTCGCCTTGGGCTGTAAAACTCTATATCAAGAATTGAGCCCTCCGGTGAGATGGAAGTGGGACGACTATTTGTTTTTCGCGGGGGTTAGCGAACCCTGCGTAGGTGGTTCCCTGGTGGTGGGGGCGACACATCCCAAATGCTGCAGCGTCGCCCCCATCTCTCATCTCCACCTCAGATCTAATTTGTCGAAACAAGTTTCAGCCTTGCGCAATTATTGAAAGGCATCGTCCTTCACTCTTGGCAGATGCAGGAGTAGTGCTTGGGGTCTGATAAAGCTGATCCGGAAAGGGTAGATGGCAGGCTGTGCTACGCAGACCGCTGTAGGCCGCTGCGGTAGCACCAGCGACGGGGTTTGTGCGCGATGTGCCCTTTCCGTTATTTGACGGCATGTTTTCCAGTGAGTGCGACTGCATTCTTCCATTCATTTGAGGTATTCAGATTATCCCAATTACCATGACCTTCTTTTTCCGAGCAATTCTCTTCGTTACATCTCTCTTCCCAGCCTTGATCGAGGGTCAAGCATTGAAACCAAGAACAATATGGTTCGATGAATCTTGCCGCAACAATCCAAATGTTGAGGTGGATAAGTTATGGGGAATTATTCAGCAGATGAAGGCCGATGCCCAAGACAATGCTCGTGTCCCGGTTGGCAAACTATATGAACACATTTTCAAGGACTCAAATAATGCTGCTTTCATATCAGGTAGATTCTGCCCCCGATATCAGGACGTGTAGTTCTGCTCGCGCATTTGCTGATGGCTGATAGCAACGCTCAATGCCATTTCCAACGATCTCGTTGCCACCAAAGACGAAGCCAATACTCTGATCTTCTGTGACGAGGACGCGAGATTCAAAGTTGCCACAGACGAAGAGGCGAAATGCAAGAACTCTCAGCGTACGAAAAAGCTCATAATCGACAGAGTTAGCGATATTGTCTACGATGGTCACACGCTTTGTTCTAAGACGGTGGGACGCGCAACGATGGGCGGCACATACTGCAACAACAAATTAAACGACGAGAAGAGGTGCTCCATAACACTATGTAAAGACGGTATTTTCTTTAAGTCTACCCAACGACGAGGAGGCTTATACAGATTTCAAGAACGCAACACCGATTTTTCTATCGATGATGGTGCCGCAGAGTCGGGGCCGTTGATAGACAACTGGAACTTGTTGGACACCGTCATTCTTCACGAAGTACAATGCACAGATCTTTGTCCTTCCAGGCTAACGTTCTCAGATAACCCACACAATACACAACGAAGATGCGCAACCGTTTCCGATGTGTATGTAAATCCCCTAGCTTAAGCGGAGTCTCTTGGATACAACTGCTGACGGCTAATGCACGTAGGGATTGATGTCGGCTACGAGTGGAATGGTATCAAGGACCTTTATGCTGCTCCGGCCAAGCAAAATGCAGAAAGTATGGCTTACTTTGGTAAGTGATCATTCCAGTTGCCTCGCGAACAGATACTCATCGTTCTTAGGACTTGGGAGTTGGATCCAGAAATCTGCGAGTCAGGGACCTTATCGAGTACTCAAGAGCGGCTCAATCAAGAAAGGGCAGTAAATATCAGCAACAATGGCTCAATGATTCGCTGTGAAACTGGAAGCAGTCTACAATAGAGTACCTGGCATGATATGACACCACCGTTTATAGAGTTGGTTAAATTGGGATTCCATTAAACATCCTGAACTCCCCGTTCGATAGCTTTCTCTTGATGATATTTGCGCGCCCCTAATACCTGCTTCAGACCTTGCCTACTGCTGCCTCAAGTCTCGTTCTGATGTTTTCTTGATAGTACTTTTGCGTTTCGTACGCATCCATCTGTACTGTAGCGCTCTTGAAACTGAAGCATGCCATAACGGTTGTATGAAACATGTGGCCCACTTGGTGGGGAAGCCTCGAGTTGCATTTACTTTGCAAACGCTTCAATACCTCGGCACCTGATAATGACCGCCTGAGCACTTCTGTTTCCTGTACCTCTACGATCTTTTGAATGGGTTGCCAGAAGGCAATCTCTGCCAGGATAATACCCTAGAAAAATATCAGCATCATACGTTCAAAAACATGACTATTTTCGGTTGAGGTTTACCAGTGCGTATACATCGTGAGCTTTCTCAAACCTTACTTTTGGTTTACCCCAACGATCCGGGTGGCGATACAGGTCACGTTCTAGTGAGTCATCGGCTTCCAGATTGGTACCAGCATCCTGCATACGCATGTACTCGAATCCAAATAGGTATGGATTGGACATGTCGATTGAACCCTGCTGAGCAACAAACGTCGGCGCAATGTCTACCGGCTCTGCGCTGATGTTATTGCGTGGAGCTTCCATTGGTAAAAACATAACATTTTCAGTCCGGAACCCCTTGTGAAACCATCCGACGGTGTGGAATCCATCCAGTGCCGCTGCCAACTTAGCCGCCAGGCAAATACGATGACTCAGCGCCACCCTTTTTTCTTTACTGTACAGACTCAGCAGCGTGATGGGTTTCTTCTCAGGATTGAAATAAGGTGGTGCGCGGAAAGCGACGCCAAATGAATGTTCGACCTTTTTGTGGTAAAAGCCGAGGCATGGAAGAACGTGGAGGGTACTAGCCTTGGGGTGGCAGAGTATGGAGGCCATCTTCTGAACTTGTTCCAGAGTCTCCTCATACGGTCTTGACGTGGATGGATCCTCTTCATATTGATAAGTCTCAACGATAACGGTGCTGCCATCGATAGTGCCAGTCTCTATCCTTTCCTTCTTGGCTGGCACGATGACCAAATCTCGACTGATCTCTTTCTTTTCCGGCGAAGAGTAAATGCCATGATACATCTGACACAGCGAGATGGCAGCACTAGTTCCGGTGCTGGCCACCACCTCATTCTTGTATGCTTCCTGGAAGTCTCCTTGCCCAAGCTGAGTGAGCACTGGCGTCTCGACAGCCGCACATGCAGCGTTGAGTGTACTCTGTATACCTTCCAATGCGCCCTTCACTGCCTCACTATTGCCTCGAAGACCTGCGTCATCAGCCATTCGGGATGATGTCATCAAAGTTGTGTCCAGGTTTCGAAAGGCTCGTACAATCTCCTGTTTGGCTGGAAACGACAGCTTCTCAAAGACAGAACCTTTTACAAACATCTCCTGAGTACCCTGTACAAAGCCCACAAGATTTTGTAGTCGTCGAGCGTTAGCTACCATGGCTTCAATATGGATGGCTGTTACGTTATTTGGTGGCGCTGTCTTCAACCACTCTGCAAGTTCACGGCCTTTAGGGTCATCTGATAGCGATGCACGGAAGATCACATAACCGGTTGGCTTCTGCATAAATCTAGGTTGGCTCAGATCATCAAGGTGCTGGAGTTTGATGCCTGTTTGCTTCGTTCTTGCGAAATCGTGATGAACCGGTGTCTCTAATCCGTATAAGTGACAGTACTTTAAAGTACGATGCATATACACTTGCCTGTTATGTTTTGACGCTCCCGCAGTCGTGATGCAAGTCTACTAGCAGTAATACCTTCAGTTGCATGTTCCGGAAGTTCGCTTATCAGCAGGCTGGTGAAGGACAACGGGCCTGGAACTGGTGTCCAAGCGTTCATTCCACATGCCGCTATCAGTTCGAACCTGCCCTTGTTCTTTTGTCCTTTCTTGATCAGGGAAGCAAAGCAGCAGTCGAGGAGTAGCAGCACATCACCAGTGGCCGCGAACAGTAATTGCTGCACAATGTGCCATTGTACTGTTGGCCCGCCCTCTTCGAACCTGACTGAAGATTAGCAGAGTCCAGGTTGGCTTCTCAGTTTGATATACGCTGCCCATTCAGCAAGACCATCTTTGTTCCGACCGCAATGTCCCGCATAATACAAGATGATCAGAGAATCCTCGACTGTAGAGTACTGTTTGACGAAGTCGACGATCTCCGTGATGAGGCGCAACTCTCGGGTATCGTCATTCGGAAGCGCTAAGGTAGCTGCTTTGTATCCGTATCTGCCCTCAAGACACTCTCGCAGTCTCTCTATCTCGGAGATTGGAAATATGTCGTTCTTCTCCCAGTGTACACATAGTACATGAACTTGGCTATATGGCTGCTTGGCTGGGAAGTACGATCCGACCGTAGCCTCGAACGTGGAAGTAAATTCTTGCAGATTCTCCATCTTGCAGTTGCGTCTTGGATATCTGGAAAAGGGTATGAACTAGGTAAGCGGGCTTTTGAGAAGGAGAGGGGCATGAGTTCTGGATCGTTGACCCAATGTCGCTACGAGACTGGCGAATCGCAACCTTGTTCAAGCCACTGCTCACCGGTAACGGGTCACCGGATACGCCATCAATTGTCAGAGCCGCTCGAGCGGGCAGACCCCTGCTGGGTGTGGTAGGACAAAAGCTTGGTACGTGGTCCTCCTATTTCTGCCTCTTATCGTTCCTTACTGTTAATCCAACGACCGACAAGTGCTTTCCTCACTCCAGCTTCATACCTTTGCACCATCGAAATAAATATCAAGTATACATATATATGGATTCCCAGAATAGAGGCCGAACTCGGCCTGAGGTATCGCAATTAGATGTTAGTGCTTCCCTCACTTTATTCTCAATAGAGTAAACTCTAACAGCCCAGCCACCATCGAAAACGTTCTCCACCAATGTCGAAGGTCAGTTTCGCGGCCGTACAGCAGAATACGAACAAACAGCTCAGGCGAGTGTGATCTGTGTGCGCAGGTGTGGTATTCGCTAATCATGGAGGGCAGTATCCTGCTATACCACTTTATGCCATGAATGCGATCGTGTATCTACAAACACAGGGCCAGACCCAACCAGCTGGACCTTATTACGTATCTGCTTTCGAAAATGGGTGGTACCGGATAAAGAAGTGTGAGAACCACGAGGAACATTCCGAATGGGTATCGGAGACTAGCCTTAGAGTGCTAGTTTCTACCACGTAACGTGTAAGGCATGTGCGAGAGGGGCGGCTAGAGAAGAGTGCGCAATCTACCTGTGGGTCCATGTCACGACAGTCGGCTAGTGAGGCAGAACCTTGTCCAGCACCGCCCGAAGGATCGGCTAGGCTGAGGCTATGCATATCTTACCGCGCCCCCCAACACAAGTTACAAGTTACTAGCTTCTTGCATGATATTCGTTCCGCCTTTGTGCAGTCCGTCCAGAAAGATACACAAGCTGAATCTTCAAGTTTACATGTGATGCCATCAATGCGATGCAATTTACTCAACAACGGCCAAGTACGTCCTTGAAATACAGTCTTGCCAATTCATCATCTCTCATTCTTTACAGGTATTCGGGCGCCAACCCCTCAAAGACAATGCTTCATCCACCAACCGACACAAAGTGAGGTATCCAAAGTACGATGGTACTAACATGCACTTACTGTCTCACGCAGTCGAAACCTTTCGGCGAGGATATCCACGATTAGCTGCTTACATGAACAGCGATCGCGACTTTATAACATTTCGCTATTTTGGACGATTGCATGCGCGTATACTGCTCCAAAAACAAGACGAAATAACTGAACTGGAACAGAGATTAGACGAACTGGACAACGCAGAATCGATGGGGCATTATCTTTGTTCGAGACGTCATGACGGGAATAGTATCCGACAAGACGTTCTTCGCGAGGCGGAATTAAAATTAGAGGCATACAGTGAGCATTTTTGAATTCAAGACCGACGCGTGGACCGGATCTAAGTTGGCAATTGTAGACAAGCTCCTACAGTCGTATTACGGATATGTCGAAAGAGCAAGACCCGAGCGAACGAGCACACAAAGTGTATGCAACTGGATGGATGGTAATAAGCCTCTCATTCCTGGTGAATCGAGCTTTTTAAGTGACTGGGATGATCTGTGTGCTCCTAGCCAACCTTCGGACCAGGGTGGCTTAGATCGATTGCTAGAGCAGTGCGCATTTCTGCTCCGCAGGCGCGGATATTCATGGGTTTGTCTCATTTCCCGGTTTATAGGATACGGCTAACGTTGAGAACGCAGTTATGGTGCTCAGAGGTAAGCTCTTAAGCCATTGTACAATGAATTTGCAGGCGTCTAACGATCTATCAGAAGGATGGGTCAAAGTCGAAGGACAGATTCGTGTTCACATCAAGTCCAGAGCGAATCCAGGCCATGTCGAGGTTCCTAAGCACATTACTAGCAGTACTGGCCCTGACGGTGCCAATCATCGCTTTGTACAAAGTTCGTGCCATGGCCTCAAGACTATGCATAGTCTCGCTTTTTACTGCAGCGTTTTCATCAGCCTTATGTTGGCTGACACATTCGCGCAACTACGAGATCTTCTCTGCGACAGCAGCCTATTGTGCGGTCATGGTTGTGTTCGTGGGTAGTATCCCAGAAAACGTTTAAAGGGTGAGAGGATCATGTCGTGGTTGCTATCCCGCTGCGTCGCTTTTGAGTACTCGTTCGATCTGTTCAAGACGATCCATGAATCTTGTTTCAGCCACTGGACCGCCTCGCTTCACAGCGTCGTGATCTTTGCCAAGACCATCTCGTTGTATCTTTTTTCTCAACAATGTAATCAGCTGGAGTGGTGTTACGCCACGGCTGGAAAGCGATCTAGCATACTGCGGATTTTTGAAACTATTTCTGTTTGCTCCAGCCTCAAGAAGGGCGTTAACGCCTTCGAGGTCGCCAAAGTAGCTCGCATAATGAAGTGGGGTCCATCCTCCACCATCAAATTCATCCAGCAAGTCTGCGATCTTTTCGTTAGGTAACATCCGGAGTATAGGTTCCATTAAGGACGGCAGCTGACTTTCCCTCATGACTGCATAGTGGAGAATGTTCTCTGTTCTTCCAGACTGTGTATGGAACACAAGGCTCGCGCTTGCTTTGATGAGAAGACTAGCGACATCGATATGTCTGCAAGTCACAGCCACCCTCAATGGCGACCGACCGTCGGCGTCTGCTAACTCGAAGTCTGCATCACCTTTGATAAGCAGATCAGCGACATCGCTGGATCCGAAAGTGGCAGCAAAGAGCAAAGGGGTATTTCTCCCCTCGTCATTCGCCTTGCAGTCGACATCGATTCCGGGCTGCGCTAACAATACACGAGCCATCTCTATACCATCGAAGAGAGCACAGTAATGCAAAGCGCCACGACCGTGCGAATCTAGGCAGTTGAAGTCTTCCACTTGTGGAAGAAATAGTCGAAATTTGGAGGAGTTGAAACGCCGATCTGCGCATTGTTGAGCAAGCAAAGTCGCAAGGCTACATCCTGGATATGCTGTGGAAGCATCAGCCCTTGCACCCGCCTCCAAAAGCTCTTCTAGGATATAGTCGTCTATGTCATGATATTCAGCCGCGCGCAGTAAAGGCGTCTGACGCGAGGAGTCGTGATTGCTGATGTCTAGACCCCACCCGTGGAGCGTGCGAATGATTTGAGTAGCAGCTGCTCTGGAATGCGAGCCGTGCATAACAAATCGCGCAAATGGGATTGTCTTTTGTCCAACCATGTGTAAGGGTGAGTACTCCCAGTCAACGTCTCCCCCATACGTAACAGCACCTGCTCCAAGTAGTAGTTGCGCGATATCGGCTAGATGATATGTCGCCGCGACATCCAAAGGACTGAAACTAGGATACCTGACAGAACGTCCATCACTGGTAGGTATGATTCTGGCTTCCCATCGCTTGTTCACATCAGCACCATGTCGAATAAACTCAGACACTAGGTCTTGAAAGCCGCAGCGGACAGCAAAATGAAGTGGGGTCCCGAAAAGATCCATGCAGTATTCCGGAATGTTGATCATGCTTACACAGGACGCATTAATCACAGTACGACAAACACCGTGTTGCTGGCCCTGTACATTCGCGGAGCCGAAGATGAGAAGATTAACTAACAATCTGGCCTCTTCGTACGGAAACATGACGAGCCAATGCAGAGGATTTGGAGCGAAATAGGCTGGGAAGTCGCCACAAAGTGGGATAAGATTCCGAGCGACCTCGAACTTGCCTTCCATGCAAGCCATTATCAGATCGCTTTGAACATCTGAAATGGCGTCCGCTCGAGGTCGCGGTGTGTGAGCTCTTTCAGTCCGCAGGAAGTTCACAATGCCTGATGTCGGGCAACTTCTACTGTTTGTAGAGTTGTAATACAATTCTGTGTCAACAAGGTGTGACTGTTCAACAAGCGGAGTAATGTGCTTAGCGGCTGCCATGACTCTGGGAGCGATAATCTGTGCAATCTTGTTGGCGTTGGCAGCTTCTGCTAAGTTTTGGAGCGACTCGAGGAGCTTTGGTTGGGTGCCGTAGCCCAGCCAATACACTATCGTAAGATGAAGCTGTAGCTGAGCTTTGAGTAATGGATCTCTCTCAACATCCAAAGCAGACTTAAGTCGTTCTGCAACGCGGAGTTGAACCTTCCAAGGAGGTGAGATGGTGATTGATGCCTACTATCGTTATTCGGATACGTTGCAGGGTTCAGTACTCTACCTTACTTTGAACATGTCTATCTCTGTGGTTCGGTATTGTGATGACGGATCTGCGACCAAAGACGCAACTGGTCCTGAGCGCAGTTTCGAGCTTCCAATGTGTCGTTCAGCTATTGCGTTTTTGTCGTCTGGTTTAGCTACACGTATGCTCAAATTGCTTGATGGTAAAGTCTCTAGTGGTGACGAGTGTAATTGATAGATTCCGCTTCGCTTCTTGTGTAAGGATGGTGTCGTGCTCGTTGAATCCACCGGAGAGATTATACGAGCTGATGTATGAGTGGACGATGGCCGATTTTCAGTCGTACCTCGAGCAAGGGCTTTTGTGACCTGTACCATAGTTCCACGCTTGTACACATCATCTCTGAGACACAGCGTCATTGCTTGTGTGACCGAATTTATGACATCGGACTCCGCATCGGGTGACAGACGAGATGCGAATCCTCTTGCAAGGCCAAGCAATGCATCTTCTTCCAACGTTACCTTGTCCAGAAACTCCAATTCCGCGTTCTTTGACGTCGCTCTATCTTTCGTAGTGAGATCATTCACTCCTTGATCAAGCCAAGCCGCGTCGATGAAGTTTTTCCCGTCAAGAATGGTTTCGAGTAGCAGAAGACCAAACGAGTAGACATCAGCACGTTCGTACAGATTCGGAGAACTCTCCACATTTCTTACGCCAGGACCCTCGCGCGAGGCAACCTCTGGTGCATTGTACTTAGTTGTGCCGAGGTATGAAACGTAGTGTCTCTCCACAAAATCGTTCTCAAAAAGCGCACTCCCGAAATCGGCCAGCTTAGCCACCTGTGGTCGTTCTAGGAGGTCATCCGTTGAATCAAATACCAGTACATTGTCCATCTTTACATCGCCATGGATTATCTGGCATTCGTGGAGGGAACGGAGCGCCATGCCAACATCAAGCGCTAACTCTCGCCGCTCTTTCAAAGGTATATTGCATCTTCGAAGATATTGTGTCAATGTTCCATGATCCGAAAACTCCATGACAAGGTAGGGAACCATCCTTTGCGATGCGTCGATGCTGTGTCCATAACCCAGAATAGATATAATACAACTGTGGGCTCTCAGAGGTCGATGGATCAGCACGCGCAACTCCCGCTTGATAACTGAGAGACGTTGATGAAGGTCTTCAATGGTCATCTTCCTCGTAATCACGCGTTTGACAGCAACATAATAATTTGGCCATCGTGGTCGGAGGAACAAAAGCCGATCTACCTGAAAGCTGGTTCCGCTGCCAAGTGGGCTTGGGTCACGCAGGGTTTCTGGGCCGATGATGTTCAGTTCATTCCTTGTCTCCGCTTGAATCTCGGTGTAGATGATATTGCCCTTGTCTTCCGGCTTCTCGTTACCAAGAGCCCTTGACCTGCTCGCCGCAAGGTCATCCGTAATACCGACAGTGGATGGTGGCCAGAGCGTTGACGACATGATGCGCGTCAAGATTGCGCTCGATTATGGGGATAGAGACGTCGTCTTTGGGGTTGTTGTGGCTTGAGGTCCGTATCGCGACGGGGAACGCAGCTTGTATAGTCCTTTTAGCAACGTGGATATCGAGGTATTCCCAGCCTATACATCATACGCATAAATTCGCATGATCATGCAAGGCGTGGCAGCTTGGCCCCCTCGCCAGCTCACTGCGGCGTCGCTACCCTGCCATGACGGACGAACCAAATCATCCACACGGATCCTAGCATGTCGTGCCTCACCGGAAAGTCTTTTGCAGGAAGGCTTTTGTCAGCGTATCAACATCGCGTAAGTGGAGAGAGGAAAGGAGGATTCGACGCGCAGAAGGCGGCCTGATCAGCCTGCGCGCGTTCGTCTACAGCTGTTTGGATCGAGGAGGACGTATACGGTTGGCACGCAGGAGATTTCCAGTACCACAAGAAGCGGGGCGCACATACATGCTGATGCTGTACCCTATCGCGCAGATATCACAGTGAGATATACTTCCACTTTCTTGTAATGGGCTGAATAGTAACGGAAGGTAGATGTAAGGAGGTCGACCCACACAACTGTCGAACCATGTTCTGCACAGGCCACCGGGAAACCCCGCTCTTCTATCCTTCTGCACCTTTGTCATTCGATGGCTACCCAACTCGGCCGCAAGTGAGCACGATCCTGGTATCCAACACTCGAGATAAGACGGCAGGCTTTACGGCGCTTGTAACACTTCTTTGCCGAAAACAATTTGTTTGAGCATACAATTCTCACTTCGCCGCTTCGATGGTACAAGCTGTGACGATTGCCCGCATCCTCACATCTGAGTATCGTCGCTGTCCACTAAGTCAATTCTTGGAGCGCATAGATCGCTGTGCTTTCTGGATGATGTAGTCTGAAGCCAAGGAATCTCTTCGAGCAGATTTATTGGGCGCAGTCATCCTTAGGTCATGGTGTTTGATGAGCGAAGATGTCGTGAGAAACTGCAGTTCAGTTCAATAGGACGCAACACTGGGAATATCGATAGATAAAGTGACACCAGGATCACAACAAGTAGGCCTCTACAGTCGCATCAGAAACAGGCTTTCATCCCATATTCATATTGCAGTGAATGGGATTGTCGCCCGATAAACTGAACAAGATACCACCGTCGCGTTAACAAACTAGTAAGAAAAACTCCAGATAATTCACTTCCACCACTTGTTCAGATATCACTTTATAGCCAGTTATGTGAAAAACTATAGATCTTGCGCCGAAATCTCCACCTAGCCATCTTTCCCCACTTCATAACCCCTCATACCGGACCACTCCCGATACCTCTGATCTACAATAGCTCCCTTCATTAGCCTAGTCTGCGAGCTATTTTCAGTCTTCTGGCCTGTGTACTAGACGTACCTAAGTAGGAGGCACGGCTGGAAAGTGTTTACGGCAGAACCCGCCGACGTCGCACACAGAAGGAACATAGACATCATAGCATGTTTCAACCCACTCCCACTTCCCGTTCTTGCATTTCTGAACGGTGTTGTCTTTAGCGGGTGAGCATCGTCTCTCGCCCTCTTTACAGTCTTTAGGACGGTCGTTGGCGAGGGTAGGAAGCGTGAGAGAGAGGAGAGTCAGGGTAGTAATGATGGAGGAGGTGAGCAGTTTCATCGTAGTCGTATTATTTTCGCTCTTTATTTGTGCGGCAGCGAGATATCTTGTTGATTGGGGTGCTGGTGTGGTGATGTAGTAGATGTGATGGTGGAGAGTGAGAAGTAGAGCAGCGGCTCGCAGGTTATATAGTCCTCAGAGAAAGGTTCAAAGGTACAGTGAATGTTCGCATGTGAAGAAGACAAGTGTGAAGAATGCATGTCGCCTTCAAAGCAACCCACAACACAATGTAATCATTCATGACATCAAGCCACCTAGAAACTATGGTACTTATTCAAAGCAATAAAGAACTCTCGACTTGATTTCACACAAGCTAAGCTTCTAACACCAGTATAATTGCTAACAAAAGGTACCAAATTAAATTTCAAAAACATGTCACAATAAAGGTAGAACCATAGGAGACAGCGATATTCCAGTTCCACTATCCCTTTGAGATTCCAGCATTCCAAACTCCTCCAAGCTATTTTCAAAGCCCAGCTCAGCTTTAAGGCATGATAAAGACTCGTATTCCGTATACCTTACTGCACAGAGAATCGCAGCCGCCCTTGCTCTAGTAAACCTGCAGTCGTCAGCTCACCCTATCAGTAGTCCGAAAGTATCGAACGCCTAACCAAGTCTACTTTTCATAGCAATTAGTTTGTATGGCGAGTACCAATACTAATCATAAAGCCAGCCATGACATTTCGCGTCGGCATTACTACACCAGTTATTATCTTCGCCCTGGCCACAGCTCTCCACCCACTTCCACTCTGGGGGCTCGAAAAATCCTTCCTTCTGGCATTCCCAGACAGAAAACGCGTCTTCGCATTTCCTTGTCCCTACTTTGCATTTGTTACCGCCGTTGGCGAGTGTGGGGAGAGTAACGGCCAAGAGAATGAGGATGTTGGAGAGAAGACACATAGTTGACTTGATCGTGTCGGTACTTGAGAAGGCTTGTCGTTGGGATTGGCTTATTGGGAGATGCTGAAGTAGCTATGTAGATGTTGTTGTATATGAAGAAGGAAACACAGCCGTATCCTAGGTACACATATATAGTCCTCGTTGAATCAATCGACGTCATCTTGAAGTGAGCGATTCAAGTGCCGAGATTCAAGCGGCTTCCGATCGATAAGCATGGTCTTCACAAAGACATCATTCAATGCAACGCAATCACGACACTAATACATCTTTATTCAAGCTACGTCAAGTAAAAACCTTCTGATTCGATTAGTGAATTATCGAGACTCAGCTATAGGCTCAGTCCGATGAAGACTCTATGAATCCATGCTCAGCGGTGGTGGGCGTGTCCGTCCGCGAATCTCATTTCCCATATCCGCGCACCACTGGCTGCATATTCATAACGCATCTTGTACTTGTATCCCTTGGTGACACCAACGATCAAGTTGTCCATCCAAGTCAAAATGGCGATTGCGCCAGCAACTCATGCATGGCCCCCTGGCGTGCCTGGCCATCGTCCGCCTTCCGGCACCGTGTCGCGCCACCCCGCATCCTCGGGGTACTTTTCCTCTTGGCCAATCGGCTGTCCAAAGCAGCCGTACACGCCTTTCTCGTTGTACTTGCATCTTGGTCCAGTGGACTTCCAGGCCCAGGGATCCATCATCCTAGGCTTGTGGGCGACGATCTGAGGGTTGAGATAGGGATTAGCATGATGATAGCGGGCTGTGAATTGACTGAGGAGAGGAGAAGACTTACGGTGGGGATGAGTGAGGCCAAGGCGGCGACGAGGAGGCATGAGTACTTCATGATCGTGGAGGAGAAGAGACTTGAATATATTGGTAAGGGGTTGCTTGACGTATAGTCGGTAGCTTGAAAACAACAATGAGAGATGTAGAGTTGAAGAGATTTAGAGTTAAAGAGATGAGGAGATGAAGAGAATCAGGACGAAACAGCGGGTATTTATACTTGTGAGAAGCTGCTATCTCATGTACTGTTATCGGTGCTTACCTGCCCTCACTGGTACTTACCGCACCCTTATTGGTACTTACCGTGCCCTTACTGATGCTTGCCATATCCACTAGCGTGGCGAATTCTCCATGATTCCAATCCATTACAATTATGTTCCAACAATACTTACGAGTAGATGTATTCAGAGTTCGTTTCTTCAGGATTGTTGAGACTTGTAGACGCTGTGAGTGGCTTGTCAAGAAAGGGTCGTTGCGATACCATGTGTCCCAGCAAGATTTTCTCACGAATGCGGTATGTCCAACATTGAAATCATTCGTATACGTGTACAGTAGGGGTTATGGAGGGCGTAATTGTGTTGTATGTGTTGGGTGAATATATGTATGAAGTAATTTGGCGAACACGATGAGGCAGCGCAGCTGTCGCCCACGAATGAGATGACTATAAGATTGCAGGCTTTCGCTTGCCTGCGATCATGAATGGCTTGAGATGTATGCGTAATTCTACTGAGCTGACTAAAAAGGAACACGCCCACTACTTGCCCCGGCATAGGCCATGCTTGGTACTATGTGACAAATGGCTTGTTGCTAAAAGAGTGTGGCTGTACCATGGAAAGAGGTTAATAATGACTAATCGATTTAGCAGGTAATATGGTAAGCATCCGCAATGACCATGAGTCCCCTCTTCAAGATTACTTCCACACAGAGATCTGAGTTATGATCACATATATTACTCGTCCTTGGGATAGACCTCGTTCGAGATCTGATCTAGCGTATGGGGCGATGAGACTGAAAAGTCGTTAAAAAATCGCGCATATAATGATACTTGTATGAGTATATGACGCATCGTAGATGCGAATGGAAAAGCGTAGGAATGACGATAGTACTGAGGCATTAATCCACTCGTTTACTGGATGTATAGCGTATGGCATACGTATATTCGCCCCCCTACTAAGGGTAAAAAAGCCCACCATACTTGCGATATCAGTCAATCGAGTCCACCATCCAAATGTCACCGAGCGACCCTTCCACCTTCCGATATCGGGAAACATGTCCCCCCTTCTCAATTTATGCCCATCTCAAGCCCCTCCACGTCCCCAAGTCCCAACCCGTGCACAGTCCGCGACCCTTCCCATGCATAGCGCAATGTCCACAGCCCCCTCTCACGGTTTCAGTTCAAAAGGAGAATCACTGATAAGGCTCCACCACAGGCTTCAACCCATGCTCCCCCCAGTAATACTCATTAGGAATACACGTGACGTTGATCCCCAACTCATCATAATCACCACAATACCAGCTGCCCTCGCAATCTTCCCAGAACCTCCAGTTACCTCCCTCGCAGATCTGTACCTCACCGCGGTAATACGAACAGCGCTTTGCGCCGTCGTGGTACATGCTGCAGTCGCGGCTCAGTCTGTGGTCGTTTGCTAGAGCCTGCATGGAATTAGTTGCGAGTGTTTAAGAGGTGGGTGCAAGGTAAGAGTGAGGAGGACTTACAAGGTGGAAGGAGCTGGGAGATAGAAGTTAGGGATATAAGGATGGAGTGAGACTTACAGTAGGGAGGCTCATCATGAAGACCGTCGTGACAGCGGAGAGGCACGCGGTGAAGTGCATAATGCTGGTGAGGCGGTATTGTAGTGGATATAGTCGTCGTGAGTTGGATAGGTGCGGTAGTAGAAAGTGTGTGTAGCAGTAGTAGCTTTGGTATACGTCCGGCAGGCAGCTTGGTGAGATGTAGAACTTGAGAATGTTTGAGAGATGAAGAAAGAATTGTGTATCTTATATATCAGTTGCTTGGATTTCCACAGACTGACATTCGGTAGGTTCTATAATTTGAGATGTTATGAGTGGCTTCTTAGTTCTGAGTCGCCGCTGTACCACGGTTGTCAGTGATTGAACGAGGATTCTAGTACACCCATGCCTCTAGGTGGTAGGAGTAGAGGTAGCTCCCGATATGCGCGCTGTAATGCGTCATTCTACGAACTCGGTATATCTTTCATTTCCTGAAGCTGCAGAGAACGACGGGAAACACTTCAAATATTACTGTTAAGCCGCGACAACGGGGGCTCGACGCTTCCCACCACGGTCTACTTTTCACAGTTTCCAGGTAATTCTTGGGTAGCAGAAGGCGAAGCCATCATCATCAACTGACACGAGTACCTCCAAGGCATTTGAATAACACCAACAACCTCGTGGGTAATGAAATAGATTATACGACATCTGGTGTTGATGCGCCACGATGTCTGCAACAGGGCGTCTTCTCCCACCCCACTAGCTCCTCTTGGCGAGACAAGGGTCTCTCCGCGCATCGCGAATTTCCACTTCGACCATCGTCACCAACGTCGCAACCACCAAAGCCGGCATTGCGCCTCCCACACACCCCCCGCAACCATGAATCTCTCGATATTCCGACCAGTTTTCCGGCCCTGCAAAATAACGCCGCCATCGCAATCAACCAACATCGGGCAACGGACCGCACAACAAACATGTCGGCAACCGCCCAAGCCGCAACGAGCAACCTTTTCCACAACACCATGCCTGCAGAAGAGGAGTAAAAAAGGCCCAGGAAACGATCCCAGGATAAGTACGTCTCCTCCACGCCTACCTCCACCCGTCGCGGAAAACAATCACCCTCCCCTCTTTCGCGCAAACCCCCCCAGCCCAAGAACAGCAAGATAAAAGCAACAAAAGCAACAAAGGAAGAAGAAGAAGCTAACACCCCTCCCCCACAGCAAACATCCGCTACCACCTCTCCCACCCCCTA